AAGAAGGGGATGAATCCAAAGGAAAGGCTTCCAAAGATGAACAAGTCGCGGCTCAAGAAAATAATAAAGAAGCTGGAGAGGGCGATGAGGGTAATGATGCGGAAGAAGAGGAGGAGGAGATGGCAGGAGCTGAGCAAAGTGAGGAGGTTCAGCAACAAGACGATGTAGAAAAGCATGACCCACATGCCGATGAAGGGGATGCTTTGGATTTACCTGATGATATGCAATTGGATGGAGAAGAGAAAGAGGGGAGCGATGGTAGTGATGATGGGATGGATGACGAGATGGATGATCTTCCAAATATGGAAGACGAGGCCAAAGAAACAGATGAAGTTGCAAATGATGGAAAGGAAGAAGCGGAAGCCGAGAATGCCGATGGCCAGGAAGATCAAGATATGGGCGATGAGATGGATATTATTGATTTGGATGAAGAAAGGGATGAGGAAGGGGAGAAGACTGAAGAGGCCGGCGAAAAAGGGGATCAAGAACCAGAAGAGGAACAACAACCGGAAGATCAAGAGGGTTTATTGCGTGATCGCGAGGATGAAGCAACAGCCGATACTGAGAACGCTGTTCCAAGTGATGTTCAAGGCGTTGGCGAGGATCAGGATGATAATGAAGCCGATAAAAATGCCGACTCCAATAGCAAGGCTCAAAGAGATGATGGTGGTCAAGGTGGCGACTCATCTGAGAACAAACAGTCAGCTGCCGAAGACGGTGAAAAGGGTCGACAAGCTGCAGGTGATGCTCCACAGAACGCCCAAGATGATACTGAAGATAGCCCTACCGCGCAGCCATTCAAGAAGCTTGGAGATGCTCTCGAAAAATGGCATCGTCAACAGTCCCAAATCAGAGAGCCTACTGAGCAACAAGACCAAGCTCAAGATCAGAACATTGATATGGGAACAGAAAGCAATGAGTTCCAACATTTACAAGACGAAGACGCTGAAGCGGACACTCAAGCCTTAGGTACTGCTACAGAGGAGCAAGCTCATGCTCTTGATGAATCTATGGCTGTCGATCCGGAAACTCGGGAGATGCCTGAAATATTCCAGCCAGATGAAGTTGAGAAATATTCCATTGATGAAGATGTCATGGATCTCGAAGATGATACTCTAGAACCCAAGGAACCCTCCAACGCTTATGAAGGTCGAGCAGGTGCTTCTATCCATCAAGCCAATAGCAATATGGAAGAAAACATGGACGACAACACTCACGCCAAAGCCAATGAGGATATGGATGAAGATATTGAAGAAGTTGACACACAACTCGACAACACTCATCTTGACCCTAGTACCACTGTTTCTGTTCGATCTGCAACCGAAGCTCGCGCTCAATGGACTCACTACGAATCTATCACGCGCCCACTTTCCCTTTCCTTGACTGAGCAACTCCGATTAATTCTCGCTCCTACATTGGCAACCAAAATGCGAGGTGATTTCCGTACTGGTAAACGTCTTAACATCAAGAGAATCATTCCTTATATCGCCTCTTCATTCAAGCGCGATAAGATTTGGATGCGTCGCAGTATCCCCTCCAAACGTTCTTACCAAATCATGCTCGCTGTCGACGACTCTAAATCCATGGGAGAATCTGGTTCTGGAAGTCTCGCAATGGAGACACTAGTCATGATCTCAAGATCTCTCGCTATGCTTGAGGTTGGTGAGATATGTGTCGTTGGATTTGGAGAGAACGTTAAAGTAGCGCATGAATTTGATGTGCCCTTTAGCTCTGAGGCTGGACCTGTTATCTTTGAGAATTTTGGATTCGAACAATCGCGAACAGATATCACAAGACTCATCCGCGAGAGCATCAATCTGTTCCGTACCGCCAGACAAAAGGCATCATCATCTCCAGCGGATCTTTGGCAAATTTCTTTGATCATTTCAGATGGTGTTTGTAGTTCTTCTGAACACGATAATATCAGACGATTGTTGAGGGAAGCGGAAGAAGAAAGAATACTGATGGTATTTGTGATTGTGGATGATGTGAGAACTAAGAAGAAGGGAGAAAGTGTGTTGGATCTCAAGGAAGCTAAGTTTGTGAATAATGAGATGACAGGAAGAAGTGAAGTAAAGATTGAGAGATATCTAGATACTTTCCCATTTAGATATTATGTTGTAGTTGGAGATGTAGGAGAATTGCCAGGTGTGTTGGCTGGAGTATTGAGACAGTGGTTTGGGGAGGTTGTTGGTAGTGGTTGATAGATGGTTCTGAAGAGAGCTTTTGCTAGACTGTACATTTGTATTGATGCTTTTCTGCGGTTCGGCATATTTGCAGGAGCAAGGGAGTTAGCTGGCTGGTTTGTGAATAGTTTGAGGTTCAGCTTCCTGTATATGGTTTTTTGTACATCGCAATGAAAAGTTATTTGATTCTCGACTGCTGCGCACTCAATTGAACCTTCAACTCATTCATAAATACCTGACCTTTTTCTCAAACAGCGTGATAATGAGATCATACCCAACGATCCCGTTTCAGAACACTAGTCCAATCTACCAGCGATGATGACTAACGTAACAGGATGGTATTGTTAATCACAAGTTTAGCGTATCATGCGGACCCTTTTGTTCGAAACGGTTTCTTTATCCAATGTAAGAGTTGAGGCCCCGGCTTATCGTACACTTAGTGAAAACACACCAAAAACCCTCATTTTTTCAATTCTTTAACTATATATTATTTCAATATATAAATGAATTAAATTATTGAAATTAATAAAAATAACAGAAAATCAATGAAATAATTGAAAAAAATAGATAAAATATTTTTAATAATTTTTTGTATAGAAAAACGACATTTTTATAGGGATTTTGTTATGAAATAGAATGATATGTAACGTGATTTATCATCGAGTGGACTATATCATCGAGTGAGCCACTTCAAAATACATCAAAATTAAGGTTTTTTGAATATTCGTATTTTAATAACTAATCGTTATTTTAGAAAAAGAAAAAAAGATTAAATAATAATAAAAGATTAGTTTTCTAAAAATCTAGTTTTTATATAAATATTTTCATTTTATATTAAAAAAAGTGAAAATTGTTACGATTTTTGTTACAAAAAAATATTCCTAATAATAATTCTTATATCAATTCGAATTTCTAATAAATGATGAGATTTTTGTAGTATTTATATAGTTAAATTTCATAGTTTTAATTTTTAAAAAATTCTATTAATAAATAAAGAAAGTGCATAATTATATACAAACGAATTTTGTATATAAAAATGATGGCCCATTTGATGATATAATCTATTCGATAATAAATCACGTTAATAAGCTGGGGTTATAACTCTTATTATAACTCGATTTTAAAATTCATTAATATGATTTATTATCGAGTAAACTATATCATTAAATAGGCCATCATTTTTATATACAAAATTCGTTTATGTATAACCATACACTTTCTTTATTTATAAATAGAATTCTCTAAAAATTAAAATTAGAAAATTTAATTATATAAATAATATGAAAATCTAATTATTTATTGAAAATTCAAATTATTATAATAGTTATTATAGAAATATTTCTTTTATAACGAAAATCGTGACAATTTCTACTTTTTTTTTAGAAAATATAAGAAATTTTTATATCAAAATTAAATTCATAAAGAGCTAAATTCTCATTATTATTTTATATTAATTTTTTTTTAAAAAATAATAATTAATTATTAAAATACAAATATTAAAAAAGCATTAATTTTGATGTATTTTGAAGTGGCTCACTCAATGATATAGCCCACTCGATGATAAACCACGTTATCTGATATTTATAATTATTAATTAATATTCTATTATCATCTAATTATCAGGGTATAGATAAAGACTTATATTGTATTATAAGAGTAGAAGAGCTATGAAAGAGTAAGACTCTACTTAAGTCGGATATCTCACTTTCGGGCCACCTCTCTTTTGAGCCACCCTTTTACACCAAAAATCACTTTTTTAATTATCAATATCTCTATTAATATTGAATATAATTTGATAAGAATCTATATATAAATAATTCAAATCATTTTGAATTTATACTGAAATTTTCAGATTTTTAAGGTTTTTGTGAATTGATTTCTAAAGCCTCAAAATATCGATTTTCAATTTATATAGAAATTATATACAAATTTAAAATTCTATAAAACTTATAATAACTTTCAAGAAAAAATAATTAAAAATAAATTATAAAATTTTATAATAAGTTTACAGTATATTTATTCTAATAGATTTTGAATAAATAGAAAATTCCTTATAAATGAATATTTAAAGGAATACTCTTAAAATTGCAGGGATTATTTATACTACTCTAAATTCACTATATACTATATCTCTATATTCATTTATTTTTTTGAATTTTTTTTGAATTTCTATATAGATTCAGATTTGAAATCTTTAAAAAGATATGATTTTCTTTTAATATTTATTATTAAAAAGTTATCCAAAATTATATAAATATTTCAAATTTGTATATAATTCTTATACAAATTCGAAAATCAATATTTTAAAGCTTTAGATCTTAATTTAAAAAAAATCCTAAAATTCTAAAATTTCTACTATAAATCCAAAATGATTTAAATTATATATATATAAGTTTTTATTAAATTATATTCAATATTAATAAAGATATTAATAAGCCAAAAAAGTGATTTTTAATGTAAAAGGGTGGCCCAAAACAGGGCTGGCCCGAAAGTAGGGTGGTCGACTTATAAGAAGTAGGGCAAGCTAGTAGTCTATGCCTGAGGCACGAAGGCAACTACAGATCATGTAGTTAGCGCCGTGACACTAATTAAGAATAATTAAGTTTGTATACAAGTTTGTAGGCTATACTGAATAACGATGATACTTTTTGTAATTATATAAACGGAATGAAAGACTTAAATAAACATTTAAAGAAAAGTCCTCTTATAAATACTTTTTATAAACAAATAGATTTCATATGGGGTGATAGAGTTATTTTCCTATACAAAAGACATCAAAGGGCCCGCGCATAAGGGATAGAATTATTTTATTAACCGCGGATTCTACCACTATCTATAGAGACTGTTCAAAGTACGTGTCATATGAAATATAAATGACTTATCCTAATTCAATTCCGCGAACAATCACTTCATTCCCAACACAATATTGATCTGCATAATCGACCAACCTTGACTGACCAGTGCCATCGCTGTCGTACTTTGTCCCTTGATACACTACTACTCTGAACAGCCAAATCAAGTTATGCGAAATTTCAAGTTTTACTTTATAAGGTGCACAACTATGCTTCGATGTTAACTTGAATCAGCCTTCCACCAGTGACAGCCTCCATTGTCGCCCAAACCAGGCCTCCACCCGTTGTGACATACAGAACATCTTTTCCATCACTCTTCCCAAGAGAAACGCCTGTTGGGGTAATAAAATCTGTCTGGTTCTGCACCACGATTCTTGCTGTGCGCTTCTCAATATCGATCTCTTGCAAGGAGTTGATGAAATTGGAAGACATCCAAGCTTTCTTCCCGTCTCTTGAAATGGCAAAGGAATGAGCATCTAACGTCACGATAGTCTCTGAAGGTCCAGTTGCGAGTCCAGTCGTGGTTGAAATTGGAATTCTGCACAAACTTGAACCCTGATTGTTGAAGTAAACGTAAGATTCGCTAGTACGCAGAACACTGACGCCGTTGGGGTTAGGAGCCACAGCACGTAGGGCAGTATCGTTGATGACTCGAACATATTCACCGGTAACAACGTTTACTCGGATGATTTCTGCGGCGATGGGATCCGAGATCAAGAGATGAGTTTCGTCAGTTGGGTGAAGGCGAGCGATGCCATTAGCGAGCCGCACGTCTGGTAGCGCTGTGACAAGTGAGATATCCGGGTGTGCTCTACGCAGATCAAGTTTCCAGACCCCGTAACTCCCTGTGATTGGGCCAGTGGCGACAGCAAAATTTCCTCCATTGACATAAAAGATGTCCCTCCCCATCTCGGTGATACCGTTGGCACCGTTGCCGCCAGGAATAATAGCGACAGTAATGGCTTCTTCAGGGCTTTCCGGCTTCACAAGACAGATTGCGCTTGTTGTTTCAGACGTGACAAGTACCTCTCCATTGTGTCGGACCTTTTGCGAGCACTGTTAGAGTACGTGGAAAAATAGTGCATATGAAAGGTACTGAAATTTCAGACTTACAGCATTACTGTCAAGCCAAGTCGGCTTGGAGAACTCGTGGAGAACCTTTATCGGGTATTGTTGCGCCGAGGCGAAGCCCTCAGAAACGAGGAGTATCAAGGCTAAAGCTTGAGTAAGATGACAGAGGCGCATTGTTGGTTATTAATGATTGAGATGAAAACGATTAAAAGATGTTCGTTGTTTTTATATACTTGAACCATAACACTGAATGAGTCTTTATACCTTCCACCCGGGGAAACATGGAGTGTCTAAAGGTAGATAAAACTCTATTTGTAATCAAAAATCCATAGTTTGTTAATAATCGAGCTTCCAAAGTTCTCTATTAACTACTGAATTCGTGTTATAAGAAAGCTAATTTCTCGAGTCATATAATTGACATTTTGTTGTTCATTGTCTTCCGGTTAGAATGATACATTCATGCTTAGACGATTATAATCCGAATGCTGTATAACGTTAGTAAATTCGATAATGTCGATTTACTTGGATTTGCTCGCTCATATAAATAAAATTTTCGAACGCGATCATACAAGCAGAACATCGAATACGCTCTTTTTGATCTGTTAAGAGCTCATTACGTTTCCCAAAGTAATTGGAAATTAGGAAATAGTACATTGAATTTTTTAAAGTTATAACATAGTTTATTAGTGTATGTACTATATTAGTACATGCACTACTTTTACCTCAATTTACACTCTTCAATCTCAATATATGATTTATCAATCATTTATTATATAATCGAATAATAAAAAAGAAAGAATACTCTTAACTATTGAAATTATCAAAAAGAACAAAAAACTTTTGATTCGAAAAACTACTAAGCTATATAATATTACATATATAATATTTATTTGAAGAATAAATAAAATAATTTCTATAACTGAATTTTGATTATAAAATCTGAAATTTATAAAAATAAAGAAGCAAATAATTATTTTATATATTCTTAATATAAATTTGAAAGGCTTTTTTTCTAAATTTAAAAAAATAAAAAATATAATGAATTATATTTTCAAATCGAAAAAAAGAAAAGCTTTTAGAAAGCTTTGAGTATATTGATTTATAAAATAATGTAAAAAATTAAAAATGTGTTTTAATTATATTTATAATTTTCAAAAAGCTTTCTATAAAAATCCTAAACTTTTTGAAAAGTGATTTCGATTAATTGCAAATATATAAGCGAAATATAATATTTTGAATAGAGATTTTTATAATTTCGATAAAATAAGTTTTATAATAGGAATTATATATATAGTAATAATTATTATTAGTATTAAAAGATATAACAAAAGTAAATCAATACAATTAGGCAATTGAAAATAAACTATAATAATAATATACAGGAATAGAAAGAATAAAACTATTCTCTTATTTCTAATAGTTTAAGAATAGATTTATTTTTTCAATTAATATACTAAAATTGATCTTCCTATAGACCAGACTATTAAATCTATATTTAATAAATGGATAAGTAATAAGTGTTAGAGTAGATACTAGTAATGAATCAACTAGGTGAAATGTAGCACAAAGACTTTTCATTAATTCTTCTAAACTTATGAAAACTATACAATTTATATATGTGTGCGGGCTCCCTTCGGCACACGGTAGGCCCGAGGGCTTACTATCACGTGCCTAATGGAGCCCTTTAGTCCACGATCGTGACAATAAGATGAGTTTAGAATAATTAAAACACTTCAATAAATACATTAAGAATCAAAGAAAAAGCAAATATCGAATATTAATACTAAATAAGCATAAAAGTCATAAATCAATAACTTTTTAAATATATTATAAAGAAAATAATATTATATATTTACATTTACCACTAACGTGGTTTAATACTGAGTATATCATATCACCGAATGTACCACTTTTACCTCAATTTACACTCTTCAACTTCAACACACGATTTATTAATCATTTATTATATAATCAAATAGAAAAGAAGCTCAAATACTCTTAGTTATTAAAACTATTCAAAAAAATAAAAAACTTAGTATTCGAAAAACTATTAAGCTATATAATATAATATATATAATATTTTTTCACAAAATGAATAATTTATTCCTTTATATGGAAATTCGAGTAAATAGTTATAAAATAATTGATTTAGAAGAGGAGATATTTATTCAATATATAATTGATATAAATAATAAAAGATTTTCATCTAAATTAAATAGTATAGAAGATATAACGAATCATATTTTTCAATTATAAAAAACAAAGAAGATTGAAAAGCTTTAGGCTTATCGATTTGTAAAGTGTTATATAAAATTAAAGATGTGTTTTAATTATATTTATAATTTTTAAAGAGCTTTCTACAAAGATTCCAAGTTTATTGAAAACTGGTTTTATATAATTTCGAATATACAAATGAAATATGATATTTTCGATTGTGATTTCTATAACTTTAATAAAATCAACTTTATAATAGGTATAATATGCCCTGGAATAGTTGTAATTAGTGCTAAACGAAATAGCAAAAGAAAAGCAATACAACCAGGCAATTGAGAATGGGTGATAGTGATTATATATAGTAATAGTGAAGAGAATATTATATCTCCATTTCTGATAATTTAAAAACAAATGTATCTTTTCAATTAGTATATCGAAACCGATTTTCCTATGGATTAAACTATTAAATCTATATCTAATGAATAAATGAATAATGAAATAAGATTAGAATAATTAAAATATTTTAATAAATATATAAGAAATCAAACTAAGGGCAAATATAGAATATTAATACTAAATAAATATAAAAATCACAAATCAATATTATTTCAGAATTATTATAAGAAAAATAATATTAAATATATGTATTTATTATTATATTCAAGTTATTTAATTCAATCTTTTGATATTAGATATTTTAATATCTTAAAACAAGAATATAATATTCAAATTAAAGAATTTATAAAAGTATATATCCATTATATTTCAAAGATCAAATTCTTTATAGTTTTTAAAGCTATATATTAATAATCAATTACAAATCAAAATATAAGAATTGAATTCTAAAGAATAGAATTAATTCCATTTAATTCTAAAACTATATTTTCTAAATTAGATATTTGAATTTATATATCTACTCCCCCTCTTTTTGATTTAAATCTTTGGATTTCTCAAATATCTTAGAATCCTATAGAAACTTTTTTTCAATTAATACTAATTAAATCTCAAATAACTTATTATCAATCAAGCTCTTCTATATTTATATTCAAAATTATATTAATTTTAGCTAAAGATATAGAGAGATTAGCTTATAAGAATACATTTTTGAATATAAAGATTTGTATACTTCAAAAAGCAAATAAGGTATTAAGTAAATATTGATGTACAAAAAAAACTCAATTATATCAAAAAGAAATACTTACTGAATAAAAGACTTTTGATATATTATCTCAATAAAAGATTGATATTCAAATTTAATATAATAAATATCAAAATAAAAAAAATCCTAATAAAAAAGTATCTTCTAATTAATATTATAATAAATATAGAAAATTAGATCATAATTTAAGAATTTATTAAAATAATATAATAAATCCTAAATTATAAGATTCTTAATAGTTTCAATTAATTAATTCAATTATTATTGAATAATATAAATTAGAAAGCATAAATTGAGATAAAAGTGGTGCATTCGGTGATATGGTGCACTCGGTGTTAAACCACGTTACATTCAAATCATTTAATTCAATCATTTGATATTAATTATTTTAATAATCTAAAATGTTTATATAATGATTAAATTAATAGATTTATTAAGATATATATTAATTATATTTCGAAAATTGAATTCTTTATAGTTTTTAAAACTATATACAAGAAATCAATCACTTTTTAGAATATAAAATCAGGATTTCAAAGAATAGATGTAATTCTATTTAATTCTAAAACTATATTCTCAAAATTAAATATTCGAATTTATATATTTATCCTTTTTTTTTCAATTTAGATTAATAAATCTTTTAAACCCCTTACAATCTAATTGAAGTTTTTTCTCAATCAATATTAATTAAATCTTGAATAATTTATTATTAATCAAGCTCACCTATACCTATATTTGAAGCTATATTAATTCTAACTAAAGATATAAAGTAATTAATTTATAAAAACATACTTTTGAATATAAAAATTTATATACTTCAAATAGCAAATAAAATATAAATATACCAAAAAAATTTAATTATATCAAAAAGAAATATTTATTGAATAAAAAGTTTTTGATATATTATTTTAGTAAAAAATAATATTCAAATTTAACATAACAAATATCAAAAAGAGAATGAATCTAATAAAAAAATATATTTTATTTAATATTGTAGTAAATATAGAAAAACAGATTATAATATAAGAATCTATCAAAATAATATAATAGATTCTAGATTATTAGATTCTGAATAATTTTAATTAATTAATTCAATTATTATTAAATAATATGAGTTTGAAAGTATAAATTGAGGTAAAAGTAATGCATGCACTGATATAATGCACGCACTAATAAACTACGTTAGTTATTATATTCTTAAAACAGGACTAAAAAATTGAGCTATAAGACAACTTTAAAAGAATACTATTAAATTATTACGTTGAACTGTATTATATAACTGTTAAATACATAGCCTAGAGACGACGCACGCTATTTCGGAGTCATATTTACCTTCTCTCATAGGACTATAGTGATTATATGAGTAAGTCGTAAGAAACTCAATTTTGATAAAAACTCAGAGTTTTTACTAAGTTGATGGCTGCTTCAAGAAATTTCAATAGATATTAAGCTGTTCACTCTTAAATTTAGCGATCTGAAGCTTTTAGCTACACTTTATTAATTCCGGGAATTTTATAGCTTTTGAGATATTTGAAGCTTTCTATAGATTCTAAATGGGGTTACGAACTACAACTGTCTAAAAACTAAGATTTTCATTCAAAAATTGGTTGATTTTGAATAAAATGTAGTATTTACAATACTTTGGTACGCTAGAGTTCACCATATAAATGTTCAAACAGCGCTGTGATTTGATTCGTCCAAAGCTTAAAAGTGAAGAAACCTTTGGTCACTCTTTGATGTGTTTTATAATACTTATTATCCTTCCAAGCATTGTAGAGACACCCAAGGACAAGACGATGCCGAAAAAATGGGTGTATAAGACCCACTGTCTACCTCCTTCGTATCTTGCATGCATAGATTCGCCAAGCCTTGTCAAGCACATCAATTGAGGTTTGCCAAGCTGAGTACTTTGTACAAGGCCGAACGATCTGGCCTTGTACGAAGTAAATAGCTCCATCGGAAGCGAAATCTTACCAAGCATGACAGTGCAGACTGGTGGGAGGAGACAATGCCGTGCTAAGAAACAATGGATACCTCGGTCGCCCACATTCTTGCCCCTCCCATGCACTAGGTCGATATAACCTTAACCTCACGGAGATATTCTTAACCCCGCCCCCCATATGTCAGCAACAAAACTACCTCTCACTATATTCCCAACGGCATTTGTAAAGTACGTTGGGTTCAGCCCCCTTCCCTATAACAGTGCTGTGTAAGCGGGTGGCTCCCCTATTCTACAAGCTGCGGCCATAAGTAGCTTTCAGAAAAATGGGTCATAAGCGAGGGGATACAACAATTTCTATGATTTTATTCTACTAGTATTTAGTGGGGAACGGAAGCTAATTCTAGCCGCAGCTTATTGAATATTTCGCCGTATGTATTCTATGGTACTACGCAGTATGCTGGTAACAACTATCTTTTTCTATTCCCAACAAAATTGATAGATTATACCCCTAAAGAAAGATGGTTAATTAAAGCAATGAGATTTATAAGGCGGCCCAAAAGAGGGATGTGCGACATAGTACCACAAGTACCTCAATGCTACTATCTACGTGAAACCTTAAACTTGGCTTTAGCATGATAAGAAAACGAATAGACATGGCATCCATGCTCAGGAGCTGTCACTTTGAGCAAAACTAAAATACTAAGAAGTTACTTTACCTTGGCTAATCTAAACTCTTTAGGCTTGCTTCTAGCCTCGCTACGTTTTCACGCTGGTGACTATCTCAAAATGTAAAGCAACTTCAAGGAGTTAAGGCTATGAGTTAAGTCAGCTTTGATTGTTACGTGTGATTATGTTCAAGGTCATGGCAGAGCAGATTGGCAATTTCCCAATCGAAGTTAAAGAATAGGTCGTAGTCAATATAAACCTCCCTCAGCTTCCAATCTCAGAGCTCATCCACTCTTCTCCTCACTACACTCACTAAGATGTTACCGTCTTACACTCTCCTGGCCCTGGGCCTTGCACTTTTCTCCTCGCCTGTAGGATCTACCAGCATATCCAAACCAAGGCAACAACAACAGGGTACTTATCCCACCACCACTATCTATGAGTTCAGCAACCCGACTTGGCTTGAAAACGTCGCAATTCGTCACAATGGCCAGATCCTCGCAGCTTCAATCAGTACACCGGCGCTGGTTCAAATTGATCCCAAAAAACTGCTCCAACCGATCACCGTCGCTACCATCCCAGATGCAACGAGTATTCTTGGTATCGTGGAGTTAGACCCAGACATCTTTTATGTCATCGCTGGAAACTTGAGCGCTGTCACCGCTGGCCGCCTTGTTTTTCCATCCAAAATTTGGAAAGTTGACCTCACACCTCTCCGTACAACCACCCAAGGAACTGTGTCTCGACCTTCCGAGCTCAAACTCGTCGCCGACCTATCAAACACTACATTTCTCAATACATTGACCAAGATTAGTCCCAAGGACAACTCAGCCATTCTGATTTCCGATTCCGGCGCAGATCACTTACTCCGACTCGATGTTAAAACTGGCATTTCTACCGTGGTCATCAGCGACGCAACAACTCGATCTACGAGACAAAGTGTAGCGGGGGTGACAGGCATACATACCTACGGCGGAGAGTTATTCTACGCCAACTTCGCCGAGCAACAGTTCTTCAAGGTTCCCATTTCACCTAAGGACAAGCCAATAGGGCCATCTACGCTCATCACCAACGGAACCCTCATCGAAGATTTCATTCTGTCCCGAGACGGAAAGAGAGCCTTCGCAGCAACCAACCCTCAAAATTCGCTAATAGAAATCGACATCTCTAGCAAAAAGTTCCGAACTGTGCTTCATGCCCTCAATGCGACAGCTGCTGCCTTGGGACGTACCCGTGCTGATCACAACGGCTTATATGTTGTGAATGGTGGAGGACTCAACTTTCCATTGAACGTTCCTGGAGTCGGTGGAGGACAAGTCATCCGTGTCGATCTCTGATAAGGTCGGTTGATATGCGTGGGACGAAATATTGACAGAGGATATGCTGTGGAATTCCTGATCTGGTAGCGATATTAAACGTGGAACTAGAGTTTTAACCACTATATAAAGCCTATTTAAATAAACGTATCTTCAAATCACACATAGCTAGAGCATAGCTTAACAGAGAATGAACTTTCATTTGGTTATACAAGATGTCTATCTTGCCTGTGTTCCTCTGTATTCATTAGCAAACAATCAGCAGCAAATTGAGCTTCTTGAATTTTCTTTCTTGTTAACAGCTTACCTTCATTAAATTGAGTCCCACTGGGCCATGCAGAAGTGTTGGGAATCTTTTTGACGAGGGAGAGATTCTGGCCGGCGCCAAGCGAGAAGTGGTTGAACAACACTCCCTTGCTAAACATTGCTTTCTTGTTGGTTTGTAAGAGTAGTACGGTGCTAGTAGTAAGAGTGAATAAACCCGCTCGACGACGTTGTAGTAAGGAATCCGACAAGATATTTGAGATATCGAAAATCATGAACTCAACGTTTTGAGGGAGAATCGGCGGAGACGAATATAATCTGCTCCCTGATGCCGAGTACTTGCTAATCAACGTCGGAGAACAGTCTCAATGGTGTTTGAGACATGGTTCAAAACATAAGAAACAGTTCAAAGGAGGTTTAGATCTACTTATTTTCGATCTTCAGTTCGTAACTGACGTTGAAATATATTTGAGGCGAAGACACAGTGCTTGAAAGTCTGAACAGGTCAGGGAATAAGCACGTTTGAGGAATTACGCAAGATAGAACCACAGCTAATTTATTCTCTGAGCAGCTAAAGACTATAGAAGTGTTCTTACTAACAATGCGACTAGAGGAAAATGAATTCCCTTGAATCTATAAGATTCTTCAAATCTTATGCGAGATATCAACTCGATAAGAATAATTACTTGATCATTAGATTTTCAAATTATTTGGATTTCAAAAATGAGAATTGGGAAATATTCACAATAATCTTCTTCTTGATATTCAATCAAAAAACATCTTAAAATTTCAAAATCGAAATAAATTAGAAGGAGTTTCAAATTCACAAAAATCTCGGTTAAGCTATTTACTAGGTGGCTGTCTTTTTTAAGTTGATATCTTGTATGGTTTTTGAAGAAAAGCATAGTGTCGGGACATGAATCATGTGACTGCACTAGCGGTTGTGCTAGTGCCGAGGCACTATAGTATAGACGTATCGTAGCCCTAGCTTTCAGAACCTCAAGCAATATTACAACAGTGTGAACCATAGTACTATATTGTCTTCACCATCCCCATGATGATACCAACAATATTAGATGGAAATATTAATCTGATAACATGAAAAATCTCATTATTATCATCTAATATCGTTTTGAACAAAAGTGTCCGCATGGCACGCTATATACAAGTTGAATGTTGAGATAGGAGCATGATTCCTTCTCTGGCGACTGACGTGAATCTTTCACGTCAAAATTAACAGACAACTAAATGTTGAGGTGGTGGAGGTAAGCACACCCAATAAAGCATGTTTGATGAGATCGAAGTTCCGTATCCATCTCGGACACGGAGTTTCAAAACCAACCTAAACTCCGCCTCATATTTGAAAAGACCCTTACAATCAATTTGCTTATTGATCTACTGTACAACAACTTCTCAGTAAATGTGATTCCAGCATCCTCTTCTGAGTCTCCGTACGATAGAATATTTCAATTATCAAGTTCCGAAAGCATTTCCCTTCCCCGTCTTCATACGTTTGGTTGCACTATCACTCGCCCTTCTCATTGGTCGAACGGCTTGCTAGCTCGGAGTGCTAAGAAAATGGAGGAGACTTCTATGGAGAACGGTGTAACGCCGAAGATATCTAAACACGGAAAAGCTTGTGTCAATTGTGCAAAAGCTAAGGTGAAATGCGTAGAAATGAATGGTGTTGCTGCTTGCGAAAGGTATGTACAAGTATATCACGTGATACGGTTCCGATTCCATGGTACTGGGGTTGCTGGTGGGTTCCTTCCTGCATGTACCAGTTCTATCTGTGTTTTCCAGAATGCCGAGTCACTGTTACGCTGTTTGAGTTTGGAAACTGTGTTGTTCTATTGTCATTTCGAGTTTGGTGGCTGTGAAATGGAAACGTTGTTTAAGCTTCAAAAAGCACAATGGATCTATAATTTATGTATTGATTGGAAGAAGGGTGCGACAGCTTACTGGCATAATCTTTCTCTATCTCAACCCTTATACGACTGAGCTATTCAAGAGGCAAACTGATACGCTCTAGATGCCATAGATTCACCAAGGACTGCCAACCAATCACCAGAATAAAGAGACGAAAGCAGGTGAAGAGAACCGCAGCTGCGAGAACTGCCGAGCTCGAGCAAAAGCTTGATGGACTAGTTTCGTTATTGACTGCAGCTACTCAAGTTCAAAATACCCCTCCTTCTTCAACGGTATCAGACCATACTGAGTCGTCGGATCCTAGAGATGAGGCACAGGCTTGCAAGTATCAGGCTGGATCAAACGTTAGTAACCCGCCCGCGAGAGGACTGGCAGCTGTCGACCTAAAACTTCCCGCCAATAGTTCCTACAGTTTGAACTCCATCCCTGTTCACCCGCCTCTACCAGGACCGGCGGCTGGAAGATCTCTTCGTGATAATAGTGGTGATTATTGTGCTACTAATGTACCCACGACACCTTCACCTACGTCTCTTATTCCAACTGACATAGCATTGTCTCCGATAGTAGAAGAGAATGCTCTTTATTATTTTCGGACTCATTCGGTAAGATACTTACCGTTCATCATTATACCATCAGATACGAATGTCCAGGAATTCAAGAAAGAGAATCCATTTTGGTGGTTGGCTATTGTAATGGCTACAGCAAAGAGTACTTCGAGACAAATCGCATTGGGTATACATATTCGTCAGCTTTTAGGTCAAAAACTACTTATTTCTGGCGAGCGCAACCTTGACCTTCTGTGGGGGCTTTTAACTTATATTGCATGGTATGTGAGCTGAATGTTTGATTTAGGGTTCAATATTAACATTGAGTAGGAGCCAATGTCATTACCAACAGAGACCAGTGGTGAGTCATAGTTATTCACATCCACAACTTTTCCAGTATGAAACATTTTCTGACCCATTGCTTTGTAGTGGAGTAGCATGATTCAACTTGCTATGGGACTAGCATTCGATCTCGGGTTAAACAAAGCACCACAGAAAGAGGCACCGCATTTGCTCTTGAACTTCGATGCCCGAGGATGCCCGAAGCCATTTATATCTGCAGTCGGATCCCAGCAAGAAAAACGAGCTTTACTTTGCTTATACTCCCTAAGTTCTAGGTAATTTTTTTCGATCTAGTCTATGAGGCGTGTCTAATCTTGTTTAGCTTTTCATTGTATGTTCAGAAGATTGACACTCTCCGATGGACGACGTACGCAGATGAATGCTTAAAGTTACTATCGGAAAAGCCTGAGTCTCCTCATGATATACTCATGACCCAAATTGTGCGCTTACAACTCATTCAGGAGCGCGTGAAAGACGCTCCGTGGTACGACACAGCAGGCGATGGGAGTATCGCTTTCAAAGCACCTGCTATTTTCCATTTGAAGGCTTTAAAAAACCAGATGGAAACATTCAGACAACAAATTCCAAATGAAGCTCGAGAGAACTGTACGTTAACAGATGAAAGTTGACCATGCATCACCAGTGCTAACAAATCACACAGGTACTTTTTTGATGCATCTTTACAACACTGAACTTACGATCCACGAAGTCGCTCTCTCTAAAGAGCCTCATACTGATTTGCCAGATTCTCAACGTCTAGAATCCCTTTGCATCTGTTTTCAATCTGTCAAATCATGGTTTGAACTCTACTTTTCCACACCATGCAGAGATCACACATCATTTTCTTTCCCAATTTATACACACATGGCGCACTGTATGGTGGCTCTCTATCGTCTATCAGTATTTGAAGATCCACAATGGGATATTAAACTTGTGCGTCAACAACTTGATCTCTCGCTCGTTCTAGGTCAAATTGTCAAGACTTGGGAGAATGTCAAAGGTGAAGCTGGACTGGATGCTGGATTAATCAAGGTAGACGATGTTGATATTTACACTTCTAATGCAAAGAGAATTGGATTGATTAAGACTTGGTGGGATGCCAAGGTAGCAGGAGAAGCTTCGAGTAATGTGTCAAGTGACAAGTTTGCGAATGTAAACGGGGGTGAGAATGGAAACGGAAATATGGGCACGGAATCTTTACCTCAGACTCAAGGTCAGGGATTCGATCTCCCAACATTTAATATGGATATGGGAATGGAGTTATGGGATGATGCATGGTGGCAGGATGTTTTTGGTGCGTGGGGAGCTCAGTGTGATAGTTGACTGGACCAGCTCCAGCTCAGACTTGAATATGTCACTAGGGAACGAATGATGTTTGCAGATGTTCTTGGAATTTCGGAAGAAAATGAGACATTCTAGAATGGCATTTCAAGAAAGATCCAGAAGCTGGGCTAGATAGATCGAGCTTCTCATCTCAATATTCATGTACTTTATAATATTAAAAACAAACGATTCACAAAACAATCACGAGAGAACAGATAAAATCTTATAAATCGCTCCCCTTCCTCTGAAGTTTTGTATATAAGAAAAGACAATACGACAATAAAATTAGAATTCCCTTCCCTTCGATTCAATCTCCAGTAAATACAACACACCCACCATAATACCACACTATCTAAACCCCCAAAACCCCATCACCCACCCAAAATCCAAACCCATCCCATCTGAGAAAAAAAAGACCCCCCATAATCTTACATGCATGCTCCATAGGCACAGCAGGTAAAAGCATCGGAGTTTCACCAAACACTCGGCTCGGGAATTATATTTTGTGAAAATTCCCGATCTCTTCTCAGATTTGGAGCCTCCTTACTTCTTCGTCTCTGATATATAAATATACAAATGTAAAACTTCTTCTCAAAGTTCAAACTCTATTTCCTTCTCAATTATTCATTCATTTATTTGTTGAGTTGTTAATTCATTAATTTATTCATCGGTTTGAAGGATTAATCATTCCGGTTGTTTTTCAATTAATTTAAGTGTCGTTCTTGAGTGTGTATATTTCTATACTTACGTTACCGGTGAGCACCGTTGAGGATTGAAAATTGTCGGAATCCATGTTTATATACGTACAGCAGATCAGCTCAGCTTTACAAGATACCTAGCCAGTTTCAAATTCAAGTTCGGTCTCACACAATACACTCAATACACAAACGATACGATGTCCCCACCCAAAGATTCAAAAAACGAGGTCCAAGAAATCTCAAATCCACACACTACACCCAGCTCAGACGAAGACAACCCTCCCAAATCAGCACACACGATATCTATCTCACCCACTAGCAAATCTTCTGAAAAGAGAGAAACCATAAGTCCGAAATCTGCTCCAAAAAGCGAAGATGTTTCTTCAGAGAAAACAGACAAGGTGGAAGAAGTTGATGGAGAAAAGGGGAGAGAAGATGAAGGAGGAAGAGATGTAGAAGAAAATCATGAATATATCTCGGGATATAAAATTTTGGTGGTTATGACTGCCATTACACTGACGACGTTTTTGGCGCTTTTGGATACGACGATTGTTGCTACTGTGAGTTTTTTTTTGAGCTTCTTTTTTAGATGAGATGAGATGAGATGAGATTGTTGAGGGGGGAAGGGTGTTTATTCTTCTTTGGTGTTTGTGTTGATGTCGTTTTGGGATTTGGTGGTTATTCGGTAGAGATGATGGCCAAGTAGCTATTCTGTGGGCAGCAATAGCATTGCACTCGAAGCCGGGATGATTATGGTAATACTTATCAATGAAGAAGTATGCTTCATCTGAAGATCTGGAAGCATGACTTACACATATATATACACACCCAACACAAAAAGCAAAAAGTCCAAAAACTAACCCAACACTCCACCACCACAGGCCATCCCCCGCATAACCTCGCACTTCCACTCCCTCCCCGACGTCGGCTGGTACGGGAGCGCCTACCTCATCACCAACTGTTCCCTGCAACCACTCTCAGGAAAACTCTACACATATTTCCGTTCCAAACACGTATTCCTCTCTTTTTTCTTCCTCTTCGAATTCGGTTCTTTGTTGTGTGGAACGGCTGTTTCGTCCGACATGTTGATTGTGGGACGAGCGGTTGCGGGTATGGGCTCGGCGGGTTTGATGAATGGTGCGATTACGATTTTGACGCATGCGGTACCGATGGAGAAGAGGCCGGTGTATTTGGGGTTTATGATTTCGACGGCACAGTTGGCGTTGGCGGTGGGGCCATTGATTGGGGGGGCGCTAACGCAGTATGCGAGTTGGAGATGGTGTGAGTTGATTTTTGTGCTTTTTGAGCTTTTCCCTGGATATGCATGATATCCCTTTTGTTTGCTGTCTTGAGTTCCCACTTGAGTGTATTCTCTTAAGATTTTTCTTGATCATCAGCTTGAAACCCAAGAATTCTACGCCTTTCATCATGCATCTTGAAGATGAAAGTCCCATGATAACTGACAGTAGCAGGCTTTTATATCAACCTCCCATGCGGCTTCCTCGTCAGTCTTCTTCTCCTCTCCATCACCATCCCAGAGCGTCTCCACCCCACCGCCCTAACCCTCACCCCTCTCCAACGAATCCAACACCTCGACCTTCTCGGCTTCTTCCTCTTCGCACCCACCGCCATCCAAGTTCTTCTCGCTCTAGAACGGGGCGGAACAACGTATCCCTGGTCATCCTCTCACATCATCGGACTCTTCATCGGATCATTTTTCACTTTTCTTCTATTTCTCTACCGCGAATATCGCGCTGGAGATGAAGCTATGATTCCTTTATCTCTTGTGAGAAACACTGTCGTGTGGACATGCTGCTGTACGAACTTTCTATTTATGGCAGGTATGTTGACATTGAGTTATTATCTACCGATTTATTTTCAGGGGGTGAGGGGTGTACAACCGACGATGAGTGGAGTATACACTTTACCGGGAATTTTATCACAGATGTTATTTGCGATTATCTCGGGTTTTGCTGGTATGTTCCCCATCTTATCTCGAGATTGGAATCGGTAATTTGACATTCGTAAAGTGCAAAAAATAGGTTATTATCTTCCCTTCAGTATTGTGGGCGGGTGTTTCGCCGCAATAGGGTATGGTTTGATATCCACCTATACACCCTCCACTCCAGCATCGAAATGGATCGGCTATCAAGTCCTCGGCGGAATCGGCCGTGGTCTCTCTATGCAGATGGTATATCAATCCCCACCTCTGTCATCTGTAATTCCCTCACTGATTAGGTTAAAAAAAACAGGTAATAATAGCCATCCAAAACAACCTCACCGGGACCAACATCGTCATCGCACAAACCCTCGTGATATTTTTCCAATACCTCGGCGGGGCACTCTGTCTTACTTTCGCATCTACAATCTTCGCCGCGAAACTCAAATCCGGATTGCGAGTATTTGCGCCCACGGTAGATCCGCAACTGGTGATTGAGGCGGGCGCGACGGCGTATAGAAATGTGATACAGAAGGATCAGGTGATGAATGTGGTGATGGCGTATAATTTGGCGATTAATCATTGTTTTTACTTGGCGGCGGGATTGGCGGCGGGAGTCATGTTGTTTGTGTGGGGAATGGGGTGGAAGAAGATCGGGGGGAGGAGTGATGGGAAGAATGTGAAGGCGGGACAGGAAGGCGGGGCGGAAGTTTGAAGTGAAGGGTTGCGACTTTTTCAAGATTGGAGGATGGATATCTGAAAGACGGAAGTTAGATTGATGGATACCATCACCAATACAAAATATACTTGTACTTCAATACCATACGAATAGAATTAATGATTGTTCCATCACACTCGCATCTTGATGACTTGCAGATTAATATTTTCGTCATGATGAGATTCACGAATCGATTCGAAACCGCCAAAATGCGATAAACCTTGAATTTGCAAGGACCTTTTCAATGCAAAAGTAAGAGATACACGACTCCAACCCATCTCGTGCATACATCACCAGTAACCATCTATCTGTCTCCCGACTACCGAACTCATAGTTTCAACGCATATACAAATGCAGCATGGCCGTAGACGCTTACCCACTCGGTACTATCTCATACAACACCACCAATAAACATCACCCCCCTCCCAACCACCCGCTCCAACCTCATCACACGACCCTGCACTGCACATCCGCGATCCGACTTCTGAATCACATATTGAATTTCCCCGCAACTCTTTTGAGTTTATTTTGCCTTTCATGCATGCATGCATGCATGCTTGTATGTAGTTCACTCCTATCGTACTGTAGTGTACAGAGTAGTCGTGCATCCACGTCATCGATTTCTTCCAGTGTCGGTTATGTTATAGTCCAGCTCTTTTCTGTCATCTATCTGTATCCATATCCATCTCACCCATCAAATCATCACATCAGTCAACCCATCAAGAATTTCGTCTTTGATTCGAGTTATTGCGCATACACATACACATACATATACACGAGAAACGCCACAACCAACCAACTACCGAGAAAGAGAGATAAGATAAGATAAGCATCGCATTCTAGTAATCTTAGCATTCCTTCCCGAGAAGATGTTCGAGGCACGACTGGAGAGGAGAGATCGCGGAAAGCCACAAAGCTTCGGGATCACTTCCGATGTGAAAAATGAGGATATGGTTCTTGATGCGGCGGGATTATTTCCTATCAAGGTTTGTGGGATTTCTGATTATTTTTTATTATTGTTATGGAGGCTGGATTGCACGTGGATGTCACGTTTTGGTCTGTTTGTTTGATTGTTTGATTTGATTTTGGGAATTGGCGGGATGGGATTAGGAGGGATAGTAGAGAATGAGTTTTGCTTGGGAAAGGGAATCGAAAAGTTTCGAGAGATTCGCCGGTCAGAAGGGAATGGATGATGCTATCGATACATGAGAGACCTATTTGTCCCAATTATCCCATAGCGAAAACGCATCCACGACGACATCAAGACACCCTACCACTCAAATCGACTAGACCTCTGCTTTTCATTCTCATGAAAACTCAGTTATTATTTCTCATCAGTCAATCTACACTGACCCCCCAAAACAAACATACTAACTCAACCCCCCCTCCCAGGAACCCTTCTTCGTCACCGCCAAATTCTGGAAACGATTTTCCGTCTACGCCTCCGTCATCCTCTCCATCGCCTCTCTCGTGATATCCTCCATCGCATCCCTCAAACCCAATTCTGCTGCCGACATGAAAGGTCTATCATTCCTTTCCCCTTTCCCCTCCCCCTCCCTCCTCCTAATAAAACCAAACTAACCTCCCCCAGCCCTAATAGTAACCAGCATAATCATCAACGCACTCTCCGTCACGCTTTCCGCGCTCACTTCTCTCGATTGGCAAAGCCAGGCGACGACGGATCGGAAATTCGCGCAGATGTTGAGTCAGATTAGTCATGTGCATGAGGGGAAGGAGGGAGGGAGGATTGTGGTTTTGGGACGGGGGAGAGAGGAGGAAGAGAGGATCATGGGGGAGAGAGGGGGAATGGGTATGGGGAAGTCGTTTTGAGATTTTGAGGGGGGTTTGTGGATAAGAAGGTGTTCTTAACGGAAAATGCATGGGGTGGTGGGAAGTACGGATTTTCAAGTAATCTTGATTTCATCTGTAAGGAGGTACAGTACAGAGAGGGACATCATCCACATTTCGACTTCGACGGAAATGGGGATTGGGAGCGGGCGCCCTTATAATGACAGATTGATAGACAAGCGTGTGTATTTTTGGTGTTGGAGCTTAGAGCTTATACCTGGGAGAATGGATGGCTAGATTATATTGAGGGATTGCGAACATGTATAACTATATACCCAGATTCTTTCACATACTTGCATTAATCAATAATTCACGATCCCAAGTTCATGATAAAATCAATATACAATAAAAAGTGTTCTAGAAATATGTATTTTATTTCAACCTCATCTCGTACACATTATCAACACTCTACTTAACTTTTCTATTGCAATACCTAGGTAACTATCTCAACCCAATCACGTTCTTCTCCACTACTTTCATACCGTCTCTAACTGCAGGACAATAATGTAGTCTTAACAATTCTCCTTCCCAGATAGTGCTTGCCATGGGATTACTTCCTTCCACTTCAGTACTACATCCATCGAACATTCCATCACCCTTTCTCTCTTCTGTATTCCAGAGACTCTTCACCTTGGTCTCGTGAATCTTTGCAACTTTGCCTAACAGAGCCATCATTGCGGTAGCGGATTTCTCTGGTAGCTGGAGAGAGCATGTCATGAGTTGTTTAGTGAATGCGGCGATTCTGAGGGGTGGGACTGCGCGGGCAGCGAGGGGGGGTAAGAGGACGGAGGAGAGCGAGCGGAGGAGAAGAACGGTGGTGGTTTGAATGTTAACTTTATTGTCGGTTGTTGAGGGGGCATTTGGATCTGGTAGATGGAGGGATTTAGAGGAGAGTTCGATGTCAGGATTGAGAGATAGGGCGTGGAGAGTGCGGTAAAGATGAGTGATGAAGAAACTTAAATCTAAGCTTAACGAGGCTTGAGCTTTATGGGCGTCTTGGCCTTCTAGAAGTGCGAATGCGGTGATGATACACAGGAGAGATTCACGGGTGAGATTGCGTGAGGTTTCGGAGTCCTCGTCTTCTCCTTCAGTTTCCTCGAGATCATCTCCTGTCTCGGCATGACCAATGAGATCTTTCAGCGCCTCGAGAAGATCACCGAAGAAATCTTGATTGATGAGATGGGCGTATCGAGCCAAACCCTCAAGTACAGCACCCATGAGAGATGGTGAACGAACTTTAAGAATGCGGAAATATGTCACAAACACGAGTTTCAAGGTTTCTGACTGCATTCTCTCGCGATCTTCGTGACTGACTGTTGCATCTGCTTGAACCATCTCCTTTTCAACCGCTTTTCGTTCCTTCATCAATTTTCGCTCCTTTTTGGTGCGGAATACTCTCTTTTCCTTGAGTTTCTTGCCTCCAAAACTGTCTTCCTCATGATCGACATGATTCGTTGATGCCTTTCCAGAGAATTCCGATAATAATCTTAAATGTAAGAAAGTGTTCAATACACTTTCGTCTACTCTGTATCCTCTTCCTTTCATCATTCTCGTTAAAATGTTCACCGCATCCAAAGATGAAGTTCCATCATCGTCATTCTTGAACAACGTTTCGATAGTCTCTCGACACTTGACGAATTCGGCGTCCACCTTTCTCGTACTGAGCTTTCCAACCAATATCTTCAAGAGATCTGATCTGAAATTGAAATGGGGTACAGCTTCTAACAGTGCGCATGCACAAGATATGGCAACCGTTGAAAGACCTGCGCCGCCATCACTTGTTTTTTGGGATTTTCCAGCTGTCGCGAGCCTGCCCAATTCCTTAACATATCCTTGATATCCTCCCACAAGAGCTTGTTCGTAGGCCCTCAACTTTCGCACCTCCTTTGAAACTTTCTCTTCCATATTATCTTCCGATAAAGGTCGTATCCTATATCCTGGAATAACATCTTTATAAACAGCCAATTGTGTCGCCAATGCCAATTTCTTGATCGTAATGTTGTGCGATTTTCCAAATTCTGCTATGGCTCTGAATGCTCCTACATTTTCTTCCGGATCTTCGTTTAACATCAATGCTATACGTGCCAATTCCTCCTTTGCTTCGAGAATCTGCTGTCGTATCGGCACAGAAGGCTTTTTCTCGACCTTCTCTTCGGGCTCCTCATCTTCCTCAACATCATCCGCACCAATCCATTCTAAATCGCTCTCCTCCTCATTAACTTCCACTGGCGCTTCCACTTGTTCAATCAATCCTTCCTTGGTCTTAATTGGCAATCGTGTACTCTCTTTCTTATCCTTCTTTCCTTTGCGCGGTCTCATTTCGTAATCCTGTTCTAAATTCCATTTCGAAGCCGTCTTGAAAAACGCATTCGAATTTGGCTCATTCTCTAACGTCGACGGAGACGAATCTTCTCCCTCATTTGGCGGAGGTGTAAGCTTGCGCCTCTTAACTGCTGGTACTTTTGCCATTTTTAATTATGTCGCAAAAACGAATCGTGATATGAAAATTGTAGAAAAGTTATCGATCGAAAAAAAGTTCATACAAGGGTTCTGTCGAAAATATTCCGAAGCGGGCACCAAGCGGCCGCACGCTCACCCGCAAAAAAAAAGTTTCCAGCCTTATCAGTAAGTCGGCCCGCCAAAAAAAATTCACAGGATCTCTGCAATCTAGAGCTTCAACTTCCATCTCGCAAACCTCACGAACGATTATTATCCCACCACCACAATTCCAAAATGCGTCCTCTCACAGAACCAGAAACTCAAACCCTCTTTGCCAAATTGGCGGGCTATACGGGAAACTCGTTAAAGAATTTGATTGCGCCATTGGACAACACTCCAAATGCTGATCGATATGTTTTCCGCGTCCAACAATCAAGATGCTATTATGTACGATTATCGCTCGCAAACCTTGCGACTTCTATCTCTAGAGACAAGTTGTTGTCATTAGGAATCTGTCTCGGTATGTGGTTCAATTCCCATGTTTTAAAGATGCCATGTCTAACATATCCTTCTCAGGAAAATTCACAAAATCAGGCAAATTCCGTATTCACATCACTGCGCTCCCTATCCTCGCCGAACATGCCCGCTACAAGGTGTGGGTTAAGGCCAATGGAGAAATGCCATTTCTCTACGGTGGACACATTGTGAAAGCGCATGTTGGAAGATGGTCGGAAGATTGTCCCGAGCATCAGGGCGTGGTTGTGTACAGCATGAACGATACACCATTGGGATTTGGGGTTACGGCGAGAAGTACACAAGAGGCTAGAAGATTGGATCCTACCGGTATTGTCTGTTTCAGACAGGCAGATGCTGGAGAGTATTTGAGAGATGAGGATACGCTTTTTGCGACTTCCTAGGAGGGTCATCTTGTATTTGGAAGTGCTGAAGGGGAATGGAGTTTGGGATATAAATTGGCGTTTATGTGGTGCAGGGAAAAGCATAATTATAGGCAAGTTGCCATTTCTGATGAAAGCTTGCTTAGACAAAATGACAATATTTGATGATCATGGCGATCTCATGTGAACAAGCTACTATATTCTCATTGTTGTTTTCTTATCCAATTTTCAATATCATTGATCTAATGCCTGAGTTGTTGGCTACATTTCTTGTTTGATGGAAAAGAAAATGAACTTGCATATCCCGATGTTATGTTAATCACACTTCACCATTTCTTTTTTTCCCAGGTCATATCCAAGCCATAACGGTGGAACACAGGGGGTGTTGCTGTACCAACATCAAGAGACAACATGACTTGTGCAGGATCTAGAACTTACAATCGAAATGTCCTTCAGCTCTAGCTCATTCCTGAGATTTTGGTTGTGTCTACTTGGATGTCATTTTGGGAGTCAATCGATCTTGAACAGTAGGGATGCAAGCAGCAATATGAATATTTTCACAATTATAAAATTCGATAGGCTCACTTGCAAGAATGACCTGTCGAAACAATAGAAATCGTATTCTATTGCCGGTTGAGAACACTTTCGGTATAAGAAAGTGACTATGTAGAATTAAATAACGAAGACGTATTTTGATTTCATTCACACTTCATATCTATAAAGCCCATCTCCTCACTCACTTGCACAATTTTCAATTTTCAACCGCGAGATGGTTTAAGTGATTGTTCTATTTTGCTATATTATAGTATTTCTTTTCACTCCCCAATATAAAAACCGAGTAATAACAAATATGACTAACTTCTAAGGAGGGTATTGGTACTGTGGAGCCGTCATTCGTATATACTTTTCTTTGCTCTTCATGCAAACCATTAACACCATCCATCATGCACGCCGTGCATGCTCCAACATCCAACGAAAAACATTATAGCAATTATACAAACCGTGGCTGTGATGCCGTTTCCTGTAATAAACCTAATCAACTCTAACAGGATATCTTTCTCTCAATTTCGCACCGTACTTGTAAATGAAAAACGGCGCTGGAATTAAAGCCAGCCCGATGAATCCCAAAACACTGTTGCCCCAACCCAATCCTAAATTATTATACAACGGACGACCTGCCAGTGGCAAGAACGCCGCAAACAAACATCGAATGGCGGTGAGACCAGCCATAGCAGATGCTGCATATTGTTTTCCCGTGTCGATGTAGTATGTTTGAATACCAGCAAACACACCCATGGTCCCGAAACCGAAAGGTATCAGGCCGAGAATTGGAACGATCCAATGGACGCGGTAGTAGGAGGACCAGCCGTACCAGAAGAAGGAACCGGGGATGAAAAAAGCAAAGAAGAGACCGTTGCGGAGACGGAACTCAGGTTGATATACACCATTATTTTTCTTGGTTAAGGAAATGATGGTAGGGTCTGATGTTTTGGCAACAGTGAACATTCCAAGGAAGAAACCGAGACCGAGACCTAGATATGCTAGCGAGGCGATTTCGATTGAGAATCCGTAGTTCTGTTCAAAGACTTGCGCGATGGATGTGAGCAGGAGATAGATGAGTCCAAAGATGAAAGACATCCACAAAGCAAGCATGGGCAGGATGGGAGAGGAAAACATCATGCGAAATGGTCTGGCGATACCCGTGAGAAGGACCGCTTTAATTTTCAAGGCAGCGGGTGGTTTCTTAGCATCATAAGCGGATATGAGAGCTTCATTTCCAGTTTCCTTGCGGAGAGCGGCGGTTTTGCGACGGATGAGGACGGGAGCGGATGTTTCTTTTCCGACGATCACGTAGAAGATGGATAGACAGGCACAGGCAATCAAGAGAACCCAATACACCCAGCGCCATCCCGCACGTTGGGCGATGAATCCTCCGATCACGGGACCGAGGACAGGGCCGAAGAGTGGTCCCATGACGAACATAGCTTGTGCTTTACCACGTTGCTGGATTGGGAATAAATCTGCAACGACACCGCCACCAATAGCGAGACAGGCGGATCCTCCTAAGCCTGCAAAGAAGCGGAAGAGGATGAGGAGATGGATGTTTGGAGCAAGTGCGCATCCGAGTTGCCTGTAGTGGGGTTGTATGAGCAATGTTTCAATTGAATGACAAGCACATGACAAGTGTTAGACTTACCATATTGTTAGTAGGAAATTACAATACATGAGAATCGGTTGACGTCCATATATTTCACTCAGTGGCGACAAAACAAGTGGCCCGGCCGCAAATCCAAAAATGAACATACTGACAACAAAGGTATCTAGTATGTCGGAAGTGGTACCAAACTCTTGATTCATGAGTGTAATTCCAGGCGCTACAATCGATGAAGATAGAGGACTACAATTGGTCAATTAAGATGCGACATAAAACAATTATTAGGTAAACGTACCTCAAGAATGTAATCAGACTGACAGACGCCAACATCAACCATTTCTTTTTATCCGGAAGATTCCTTTTTCGAGTCAGTATAAGTGTGACCACCGTGCACTGTCGAATCAAACGTACCTTGGATGTGCTGGATCATCTTGTCCTGTCCATCCTACTAGATTATTTTCCATGTCCATCTCTGGGAAGATCTCCTTTGGTGGTCCTCCAGGTCCACCTGGCCCTCCAGGACCTGGAGGTCCCGGTGGACCTACAAGCTCCTTCTTTTCCACTGGTACCTTGATTTCTTCTGATACCGGCCTCAGAGATGAAGCCAGCGTTTCTTCTGAAAATGGCCTTGAAGGCTTCGAAGACGCAGCAAGTGATTCCTCTGAAGTCATTGCAAAAATTTCAGGATATGTATCTCGAATACTTTTTGAAGGCGGTTCTGGAGGAGGGGACCGTTTTAAATTCCTGATTGACATCATTTTGAATAACCCTGGCGTGCTTTTAAAGCTCTTTGTGCTTTTCGTGCTCAGTTGCCTTTCCATCTGTGACAGTCCTGTGGGTGATGATTCTGGAGTAGTATATATAGAACGTGGTGAATGCAGAGCTTCCAGCTCCAAGCTATCTCTTCTCTCCATCTTTCCTTTGTAGGAATCTTCGTATATTGACGAGGTAAAGTCGTGCGCCGTTTCTAATGCTGAGTTGTAAGTCGAAGTTTCAATGTCGTATCCATAGGGAATGTCTAGATAATAATGGTAATCATAATCCTCTGGATTATAAGGGAACTCGTATAACGGTTCCTTCTTCTCGGGTGAAGCCATGTCTTCGATCAGCATACGAAATTTAGTGTGCAATTAGTGGGGACGCAAATTTGCGGTATACAGAATCAGGAAAAGAACGTGGGATCGAGCAGGTAGTAAATGATTTTCGTCCTGTGCAGATTGAACTATTGGATCGTACCTTTACTAAATATGGACTTTGGCTTCAAAATAACAGCAGGCTGGGTGTGCGTAGGTTGGTGACCGTGCAGAAGGGGCCTTAGATTTCAAGTACTTCATAAATTGGTCATTTGAAATCGCGGATAAAATAGACACCGAATTGTGAATTTCCAATCTCATTGGCTGATACATGAAGCTCTTCATTAGATTTTGAAGCTGTGAGGAGGAAAAAGGAATGAAAGATTTGAAGAGAGCATAGAATCGGAAACCAAAACGACCGAGCACCGAACTCTATTAGTTTCAGCTCTTACTCGAATATACTGGCACTAACGAAGCTATAAATAAAGATCTGGTATGGCTCTGGGCATATCTTGATGTGATCCACAGATATGTTTCAGGATTGATGAATCAAAGAGTTTGTTTGTTTGAAGAAGAGCTGAGGTTCCTCCTTGCGTATCTTCTTGTTTATCAGTTGAACGCATGGCAGAACAGAACAGAACGGATGATAGGATCAATGCAAGACGTGTAAGTGTTGTTGACACATCGATCCTGTACAACAAGTCTCAATCTGAATAAGCTTCCAAGGTTCAGTTTGTTTTGTGTTGTTGATCAGATTCTCCTGTAAGATTTTAGTTGTTTGGGTGTTTGGTTGTTTGGGTGTTTAGTTGTGCAGTTGTTCAGTTGTTCGCACGTGGAGAAGATTGATGATCTACGGAAGCGAAAATGGATCTGAGCCCAACAAACAAACTAGTTTAGATTAGCTTTAGTCTAGGAGTCTAGTCAGGAATGATAATAAATACGGGTAACTTTTAGGTCCAAGGTAAAACATCATAGAATGTAGAACATGCACAGACCGATCGGGCTGGAAAGGGAAAAAAGATAAAAAAGATACTTCATAAAAAAGAATTCTTATCTCACTTATCTCGTATCCGCATTCCTCCCGAAGCATTCTGTGCCGTACTGCACACACCGAGAGCATCATTGATATGTTTGCTCGTTGGCCTAGGTAATTTGCCAATCTAAGATCAGGACCATTAAAGTTCACTCGAACTTCGATACCTTTCCATGGCTGTATATTTACTGGTAGTGATATCATCTATATGGTTAAGATCGAAACCAAGGTAAAAAAACTTAGTATCAAAGAGTGTAACTAATCTGTAACATGTAGATTTTCACCTCGTATGCCGCAATACAAACAAATGAGTTGCCTTGCGCAAGTTCGTAACAGTTACATATACACTCCGTCTTCACGGGAGCTTTTCATTCATTCTGATATATTACCTTGCGGGGCGTTTCCACTTTCTCTCTATAATACTCGGTACCGATTGATATTGTACTTTATGTCTCTCGCTCTGGGTATCGAAAAGTTTCACGATTTGGGGTAGTGGATGCAACTTGCAAGAAACTGTTGCCCCACACAATGTACGAAACACTGCATGCCAAAGCATTCCTTCTCAAGTTCTCTGAAAATCTTATATCAAGTTAAAACATCTTCAAAACTAGGAGATAATTGGTATGCTCAGTCTTTTTTTCTTGGGATGACGAATTGAGTTACATGTACGTAAGCAAGGGAGGCTGTTATGATTTGTTGAGTCTCGGTTCAGACTAGACCATGAATAATGATGTAGAATGTCTAATGAGTGTATTCTTATTGTATCTAAAGCTAAGGTATATAATGACAGATAGTCATGTGGGATGAAGTCTCTGTATTTCACGGGGTTAAGGTTGGTAGGTGCTGAAGAAGCCACAACGAATATTGGGGCTGGTAAAAACAATGCATCGCCGTCGTGATAGTCTTTGCGTATGCTCGCATCCTAGTTTGACAGCTCCAGCATGATCTTGTCTGCCATTTTACACTATCTCAATGACTATCTGCCCCGCCCTCTCAGCCCTTCGCATAAAATTGTTATGCCAGCCGTAATTCTCAAAGACAACGGCTCCAACCCTGTTGTGCAAATATCCTACTCTTTCAAACCGTCGAAAATTTACCTTTTCACGCTCTTTCAATACAAGTGCGCATATTCCGCCGCCACCAACAATCCCCACCAAACAGATCCATACTTTTGTTTCTGAACACAAATAACCTACTTGGCTCTTGTCTTCAACAACGTCTATGCTCATACGAGGCACATTGTCTTCAAGATCTCCGGCGATGGGCAGGTCAAGAATATCAACAGCCGGGGAGGGCTTACTCGTTAACGGTTCGAAGGAACCCTGAACGTCGAGATAGACATTTGGCCAGAAATAAGGATCGAAGTCTTCGTCCAATGCATCTGCTTCTAAGAACTGAGTAGTATGTCTTGCATCAACCTCCAAGTATGGGTGCTTAAAGATCTGGGCTGCAATGAGGATGCATTTAGTTCGTATCAACTCATCACAAACTGAACCATATAGGGATAGTCTCAGGACTAACGGCGTGATCTGAGTTGAAGCATGACGAATACAGAATTTTGCAGGTTGTTCAAACTTCTCTCCAAAGTTTGAATGATAAACAACCGGGCTACAAGGCGGTTCTCCTTCAAAATCGACAGAAGCCCAGGACCAAGTAGGAGCCCTGTACGGTTTCGCTCTTGAAGGAACACAATAGTCTTCAATCACCTTGACCCACCAGCAAAGGTCACTCGCAAGACTAGACATCCACAGTCCAGCGAGATATAACTGTCCGAGTTGTTTATCGTGATGCCAGAAGTACCATGAGAAGCAGTCGACAATATTAGATGCTGCAAGTAAATAGCTATTGTAGAGAGAGTCAGAAATTGCCAATTGAGAAACAGGATTTTAAGGGTAGTTCGGACTGCAGTCTGAAAACGACTGCCTTTCAATCCCGATTCCACTTGAAACCTTTGATCATCTCGACGCGTGACCATTTCGGGATACTGAAAGTCAGAAACTTGGAGTACATTCCACTACTACTACGGGCTGGTAGAGACTCTTGTGAAGCAATATGAATGTGGAAAATGGTTACAAACTCTGAAGCATGCTTGAATTTGAAACTTGAAAGGAGAGTTACAAAATGGTGCCAACAATCACTAGCTCCATCTTCGTCAAGATCGTATAAAACTTCGCTCGTAAGTTGTGGTTGTGGTTTCTCGTTGGCATAAGGAGGCTTGCTGCAAAAATAGATAGATATACCACATTTACATTTAATTTCACAATTGGGTGCAATACTCAGTGCTGCATAAAATTTGATGGACCAGCAAAAGGAATTCTGTAGAGTAAGATTACTAGGGAGAGTCGGCAATCAAGTTAAAGAGTATGTCTAAGGTAAAACGAACTGTCTGCAGCTTAGGCCGAAATCCCTATCAAGCGTCGAGTCAGGATTCATCGTATCGAGGACTTGTTGATTATGAGCAGAATGATGTAAGAAACTGGATGAGTTTGAGCTTTGGAATTCTTGTCCGTGATTTTTGAGAAGAGGAGAATCGAAAACCAAAAACACGCTTCAAAACTACGGGTGTAATTCAACTTCCTAAAGTTGAATAGGAAAGTATGGCCGTAATGGTCGCAATCAACCACAAAGGCAAGTCCCAAAGGAGTGTAATTTGCGAGGCAAGAACTACATGATGACTGGATCTTGAATTGATAATCGAATCTTTCAAGCTTGGAAGGTAGATAAGCACTGTGTTCAATGATATTGACCAGCGGATATAGATGTGAGTGTTCAATGCCAGAAAATCAACATTCGAAGTGGGATCAGGATTTTTAATGACACACCACAGCCCGAGCTATTGGAGATCCTGAAGAAGATCTCTCTATTTTCAATATGAGAGGAAAGCGCAAGTACTCTATCATGCGCTCTTTCTCCAATGCATTCATTCCCTCATTGATGAGCCTGGATTAAAGAGACTTCTTATGGCTTTCAACGTTAAAACCCTTTTCTTAACGAGATAGTATGAAACAGATAGACGACGAGTAGATCTAACAAATAAATAAAAAGAGGATAGATGAAGAGGAATAAGGAAATCGAAGCTTTCACGAAATGACTACACCAATACCTCATTTCCCCCGGATTGAGGATGCGTTTGATATCTCATTGTTGTCAATTGATAGGATTTTGCTCATATGACCTTTTGGGTATGTTCTCGAACTTCTCAGATGATAGTTCAGAGATTGACGGCGAGCGCATATCTAAAGGAATGTCCAGGGCTTGTATACAAACCAAAGGAGAGCGAAAGAAATAGCTTGGAAGTGGTTAGGATGGAGTGTATCAATACCCAGGTACCTAGTACCTACTGAAGGATCCATAGTAGCGACATGCTCAAAAATTGCACTCTCTCAACCATGATTGAAATTGGTGAGATGTAATATCGATTGATGCCAAGCATCAAAGGAAGACGAATCTCAGGGTAAATCTAATTCAAAAACGGAAAAAATAAGAACAATCTGAACTGCTTGTAACCTATCGTATATTGCCGAGTACTTTTTGAATTACAGATAGATTATCAAGAAGTCACCGGTAGATGAACTCGTGATCCTAGTTATGTTTCTAATTCCACCGCCTTTACTTTTGCCTTTAGCCTATTAATTCTGCCAGCACAGAATAATTTCTCATGGATAAGCAATCAACACCTGCGACGGGAGAAAAAAAAACATATTGATACATTCAAAGTAATTTGTTTTAATGATGCTCCGGCAGAAACCTACAACATGTCTGCTTTGTTCATTCAGAGCAGCTCAAAATCCGCCAATTCAAAAATGGCCTAGCAGATCTATGTCCATGAGATCCAGACTACCCAGTCGACCAAATCGCATGAGTCTGGCAGGCGCAGGAAAAGTTAGTTCGTCGCCAACAAAAGAGGGACCGGCAAGGAGAAAGCAAGATGGACCTTTCGGGGGAATGAATCTGCGAGAGGCGAAAATTCGTGGAGTTCCAGAACGACCATCAGCAGCACAAGAACGTCGATCATCGAGGCTCGATCGCGGGGACAAAGATGATAAGAAAAGCAGAGGATTTCACGCATTGAAGATGCAGAGGGCTCTTTCGCCCGTTTCATACACAAGGAGGTCGGATATAAAGGATAGGATAAAGGAACTAGATAGCTTCGAGCAATTCGCCCTGTTAGACAGTGTGAAGGAAGCAATCTACAAACAGGCTCTTCCAGAAATCGAAAGCCATGTTCCGACACCGGTACAGAGGATTGCCATACCGGCCTTACTTGGGAATCAACAGAAGAAGGGAAAGCAAAGTGAGAGTGAGCAGTATTTGATTGCTGCTGAGACTGGGTCAGGGAAAACATTGTCATATTTAATACCAACGATAAATGCAATCAAAATTGCAGAGGCAAAGGATGCGGAGATCGAAGCCTATGAGAAAGAATTACAGGAAGAGAAATTACGACAAAATAACTTAACATTGGTCTCACCACCTTTATCAAACATGCCACATCCTACAACAGGTAGGCCGAGAGCAATCATACTTGTGCCTACATCCGAACTGGTGACTCAGGTTGGAACACTTGTGAAGGCGTTTGGACATTCAGTTAAATTCAAATCGGCCATGATTTCCTCTAATTTCTCTGGGAAAGTCATCCGTAACCGTCTTTTCTCTCCATCTGGAATCGATATACTTGTATCTACCCCTCATCTTCTCTCCTCTATTGCGGACTCCGACCCAAACATTTTATCTCGCGTCACTCATCTCGTAATTGATGAAGCCGACTCTCTCTTGGATCGAGGTTTCTCCCCCTTAACATCAGCAATCATCGATCGCGCCACTCCATCGCTCGAACAACTCGTTCTATGCTCTGCAACTATTCCCCGCTCTCTCGACTCATTCCTTCGCAAACGATTCCCCTCCATTAACCGTCTAGTCACACCAAACCTTCACGCTATTCCTCGACGGGTCCAACTCGGCGTTGTTGATGTTGAACGTGACCCATATCGTAACAATAAGAATCTCGCTTGCGCAGACACTATCTGGACCATTGGTAAAGCCGCTGCTGAACACGATGGTCCCGTCAAAGGAGTAATGGATGTCAAGCGCATATTAGTGTTCGTTAATGAGCGGGAGAAAACCCAAGAGGTGGCGGATTATCTCAAATCCAAGGGTATAGATGCCATCGCCCTTTCTCGTGATACTCCCGAGGAACGCCAAAGTGAGATGTTGGCATCTTTCACCTCGCCCGCCAGACTCAGCATGCCGAAACCAGATTCCCACCCTGGATCTCTATCAGACAATCAACCGAATTATGTACCATTCGGAAAGGTCGCTCCTCCAGTCAAGAGACAATTACCTAATACCAAAGTCTTGGTTACTACAGATTTGGGTTCGAGAGGTATCGATACTGTAGCTGTAAGACATGTCATTCTATATGATGTACCACACTCTACGATTGATTTTATCCATCGACTGGGTAGAACTGGACGTATGGGCAAGAGAGGAAGAGGTATAGTTTTGGTCGGAAAGGGAGATAGAAGGGATGTGGTTAAGGAAGTCAGAGACGGCATGTTTGAGGGCAAGGCATTGATTTAAAAGGATTTAATTGTATAGATATGAATAGATGCATGATGCGTACAGCACAAGAAGGGTTTTGGGTACATGGATATTCGAAATCTCCACTTGTTGAACATATGATCATGATATGGAAGATAAAACAAGACAGATGTAGATTGAAGACTTTACTGTATGCATAGAAGACAGAAGATGAAAACAGATCTCGAAATATCAGTACCAATTTCAAAGTTATCCAGACTACCTCTTATAGTATGGCATGCTTGCTTTTTAGTCTGTGCCATTGACTTATATCTGTCACCTGACTATTCCCGCTCGTTCCTGCTCATAGATCCCCTTAATTCTATAATACTGGCTCTTAATTCCTCATTTCACCAGTTGCACCCAGGACCATGGATGTTACCGCACCGGGAGACCAGATGCCAAGCGTAGAACTAGGACAGATGTAATCGGCTATTAACTACATCGCAGTTTAAGTTTTGCATCAATGATAGACTTGCAGCGGAGAGGGTTATACCTAGAACGGACTCCAACTAGAACCCTCGCCTCGAAGTAGAGCAGTCAATTTATGCCTCACAACTTAGGCCGTAACATTGAGAAAGAGCCTGGCAAGTCGATGCAATACTTTGAGCGTCATTGAGGCAGAGCCGCTGATCGTTCGCTGAGGGACTGGAAGCTTGTTTATGGAGGAGATATTGGTGTGTTAAGAGGCTAGTCTAAACAATATGCGAGACTTTGACAAATGCACTGCAAACATGTCATTCCTCGGGAATAGTTTGAAGGCCATACACCATTTTCATCCCTTCACGTCCATTCATCCGGTGACCTTTCAATCCGGATCGAGGATTTGTGTTGTTCGACGAGACATCGCAGCAAATAAACATGAATGTCGCAGCAATGAGAGAAAATGGCGAAAAAGGAGTTAGCATACAGAACGTCGAGTGGGATTCGGACGGATATGCTGGACTGGACATTGGTATGGTGCTCATGAATGATGACGAAGTGATTTTGGCAATGATTACAAAACGCCGGGTGGAATGGTGGGCATTAAAAGTCGAAGTCTCTCTTGGGAATCAATGGGAAACACAAGGCAACTCAACAACACTGTGTGTTTTCAAAGAAATTCAAACGTATCCGCGCGGGTCTGCGCAGCATTCCAGTTTTGCGATTGAAATGGCCTTGTTGTCCCAAGCATTTCAATTGTTGGAGGGTGGAATGATCCTTATATAATTGCAGAACAGCAGGACGTACGGGTGGGCGGCCAGCGTTTACCTATTGTGGGGTCGAGGGGAAGCTGTCTAGAGAAGCGCGCTTACATAAGGTGGATCAAAATTGTCCAGTTGTCGACCAAGTCGCTCGCAACCTCTTTGGATTGAGCCAAAAAAGAATCAAGACATGCATTTTCGAGTGACGCATCCCCACCCCAACCTTTGCTAACTCCATCAGTATCTAACATACCTAGCTATATGGAGTCATTGAACGGCAAAAGACATTAGTTGAAACTTTCATTTTCTAGGTATTCCTTTGAACGACTGACTCCTTGGCCGAATTGTGGGGCTAAACGATTCTTCACCGAGTGCGCATATGGAAGTAGAGAGGTTATCCACGAGAAGATTTCCTAGTCCGTTGAATCAGATGAACATTCATCAGCATGTCAGTTATTGCATAAATCTCATGGCAGGCTGAAGCTGTTGTACGAGTAGTCACCTTTCAATGACTTGAGCCTCCACGCAATATGGTGTGCCACCACATAATTAATGGTAATATGCAGTGAGGTTCTTACAAAAGTCAAGCCTCGTTCATAAACATCCAAGATTGAGTTTAATCAGCAGGGTCGTGGCCAATGATGTGGCCGTAAGCGCACTGAAGTCAGATGCTAAGCCTCACTAGGTCTGTTCAACAACCACAGCAAACACCAGGATCTAATCGGTTATGACCGTTTGATTTCATGCCTGTTGGGAAGACAGAGCAACAAGATATCCAAATGCCAACTTATTATTGAATATAAAGTTCATCATTTCATGACTCTATCAGCAATATCATATTATATGCTTTCTCATTACATTCTCACCTGAAAAAATAAAAAAGTGTTGCTACCTAGTCAGCGAGGCGAGGCCCCCCTTTACGTAAACTACTTGTGACTCTACGGTCATACGGACTAGTTCGAATTTCCTCTTTCTTTACCATATCTACATATTTAAAGTCTTGCATCTATACCAGACTGCGAGTATTCATCAAAGTTCATCGCCAGCATGAACGGCTCCGTTTCTCACGATACGATGGGCAACCCTGGACATCATCCAGCTGGGGATACCACCGGGCAGGCAACCTATGGCTACTCACAACCCCATATAATCGACATGTTTTTCCCGGGATTTTCACTCTTCTCAACTGCTCTAAAGAACTACACTACCATCGACCTCAACATCTATATCCCCATGCTCATGATCCTGGGTATGCTAATATTCTGTTGGCAATACATCGAACTATGGTTCTGGGTTGAGCTTGACGCTCATTTTATGTCAACTGCCGATGTTCGCATCGACGATGAAATGTATAACATGGTAATGGCATGGGTAGCTGAACAACCTTTTGCTCAACGATCTCGTCATTTTGTCGCCAATACCAATCTAAACAGTCGGATGTGGTTCATGTGGAACTTTAACGAGGACGATGAAGAGAAAGAGGAGGATGATGATGACTTTGAGATCGACGAGGATGGAAATCCCGTTCCCAAGAAAGCATCCGAAAAGGAGAAGAAAGTCCGATTCACACCAAGCTTCGGAACTCATTACTTTTGGTACAAGAGGAGATTGTTGCAATTCAGACGTTCGCAGACTGCATCATTAACTAATTCAGCTACAAGTGAAAAGGAGGAAATCTCAATTTCTTCCTTTGGAAGAAACCCTCGCATCCTCAAGGAGTTACTTGATGAGTGCCGCCAGGCCTTTATCAAAAACGATGAAAACAAAACAATTATCTACAGAGGCGGTACTAAGGGCGGTTCCTTCGGTGAGCCGGGCTGGACTCGTCTTCTTTCCCGCACCTCTCGCCCCTTCTCTACGGTCGTCCTCGATGAAACGGTAAAGCAGAATATCATTGCCGATATGAAAGACTACCTGCATCCATACACGAAGCGATGGTATTCTAATCGTGGTATTCCGTATCGTCGTGGGTATTTACTCCATGGGCCACCCGGCACAGGGAAGAGTTCTCTTAGCTTCGCAATTGCTGGATATTTTAAGCTTAAGATTTATATCGTTTCTTTGAATTCCGGTTCGATGAACGAAGAAACCCTCAGTACACTCTTCGCTGAGCTTCCCAAGCAGTGTGTTGTACTCCTTGAAGATATCGACACCGCCGGTCTTACCCACACCCGTGACGATGACGAAGATGAGGACGGCTTTGACTTTGATGAAGAGGCTGGCCCTAGATCTCCATTGACTAAAGCAACTAAGGCTATGGAGGCCATGACAAAGAAAAACGGCGGGAAGGATCAATCGGGTAAGATCTCTTTGAGTGCATTGCTCAATGTGATTGATGGAGTTGCATCGCAAGAAGGAAGAATTCTGATTATGACGACAAATCACATCGAAAAGTTAGACGAGGCGCTTATCAGACCTGGCCGAGTTGATATGACTGTCCACTTTGATTTGGCTACTAAGGAAAACATGGAACAAATTTTTAAAAGTATCTACGCAACTCTTGAAGGAGACTATCCTGAGCCCAAGAGCTCTGAAAGTGGATCTTCTGACGGCGGAAGTGTCAAATCAGGATCCTCTAGAGGGAGAAGTCCGGCTAGTGTTGTACCAGTCAACAAGCGGGGTATGCACAAGAAGAAGCCTAGAACTCCTTCGAAAGAGAGAAGAATACAGGCAGAATTAGATCGAATCATTGCGGCGGAAGAGGAGCAAAGAAGGATCAAGGATGAAGAGAGAATAGCAAAATTAGCAAAGCTCTTTAGTGAAAAGGTCCCTGAAGCAAAGTTCAGTCCAGCAGAAATTCAAGGTTACTTGTTGAAGCATAAGAGAAATGCGGAAAGTGCCGTCGAGGGAGCAGAACAATGGGTTAAGGAGAGAGAGGAAGAGAAGGAGAGAGCGAAGTTGAAGGAGAGTGAGGAAAGAGAGAAGAGAGAGAAGGAGAAAGCAAAGTTGGAAAAGGAAATTGAGAATTTGAAGAAACAAAAGGAGGCTGAAGAAGGTGATGGTGGTGAGGAAGATGAGGATGAGGAAGAGGGGGATTCAGAAGAGGTAGTGAAAGAAGTTGAAGTCATCAAGGAGCAGACCGAGATGGTTAAGAAAGAGGTTGAGGCTCTTAAAGATGAAGTCTTCGATGGAATGGAGAAGAATATCCAGAAGATGGAGAAGGCTGGAATTAAGTTGAAGGATATCGAAATAGCAAGTGGGAAGAAAGCTACACATAAGTCCGATGTGGAGATGATTGAGTATGCAGAAACTGGATCTCAGACTGGTCTAGATGAGGTGCTTGTCTAGAAAGTTATTAGTGTGTTTCAAGAATCGATGTAGGATAGATATCTTGAGAGAGATTGGGCACCGCAAGTGGCCGTCTGGGGGTTGGGGTATTAGGGGAGTTATACTGGGAGTTCTGGATTTTGCTATTGTCTGTTGACATTGATTGGTGTTGATTGGCAGTGAATAGTATACAGAAAACTAGATTAGAGAATTGCATCGAAATAATGAATAGTAGTCGAACTGGTATTATATACATATACTTTTTTTGTGCTTTGAACTGGTAAATAAATGAATGTTGGGAATTGATATGAGCAGGGACGATGCAGAGCCAGTCAATCTGGTAAGTTGACTGACATGATTTTCTACAATCCCCATTGAAAGAAAGCGGAATAAATTTCAAGAAGTACTCTATGGATTTATCATGAGATTTAGCGTCGAAAGCCATATGCATCATATATACGATATAACATATTTCCAACCAACAAGTGATCCATGGTTTGAGCATTCTAGACGCTCGCATGATGAGTATGTGAGAGGGAGGAATATCGTGTGTATTTGTGTATCAGCGCAATCTCCAGGGCGAAGTCTTCAGCACGGTAAGCTATGCCCTAAATGCGGGGGAGAAGAGCTAGAAGGTTATTAAGTCGGGAATTATTGATAATGGAAGCCCTGGAGACTGGAGTGAACTGAAGAATATAGCTCGTGGTGAATTAAATGTAATGATTACTTAGTTAGTTAACATTATTTGGAATTAGATAACTACCATGAATTAATGAATGAATGAATGAATGAATTAATTGACTGTATTGATTGAGATTATAGTGTATGTAAGTCTTACATAGTACTAATACGTACCTACCTAATAAAATCTTCAGGTTATACCTGCCCGCTTCCTAATTCCACTAAACTTAACAAAAGAGTAATGCGGCAAGGCAAGTACCTACCACCAATACCACACCAATCCATACCACCAATATCTCCACACCACCACTACTTACCTACCTACCTACCTACCTACCTACTTCGAGGTTCATCATTGAATGGGAAAATATCTCCCCCTCCCATCCACAACAAGAAGAAAAGAAGAAGGACAAAAGAAGAAAAAAGGATTAGAATTAGCGCGTTGTATTGCATTTTCCACAAAGATCAGAATATCAAGTCTTTTCCTTCTTTGAAATCTCTCACGACGATACGAATTCGCAAATGATCTCAGTCATTCCTTTTTCCAATTCCAAATTCACCTAAAAAAAAAAAATTAAAAACCCACCTACCCACCTGCAGTTTTTCGGAATCATACAGTCGCATTACGGAATCTTCGATGCTTACGAACAATACATTGGATTCTTCTACCATCTACGATTCTAGAGCGGCAAAGGCTGCTCGCTTTCACGACGTCTTCCACAAAGAAAAGAAAGCTTTCTTCGCAGATCGTACCTGGCATAGAAACCGATAGAGGCCCTGATTTCCCCATATCGTCGGTGGAAGGTCGCGAATCACAATCCCCCACCGATCTGCCTTTATTCGACACTTCTGCCCAGGAAAACCACCGTGCAGAATCTCTACCTCCTCATACCATACCTTCAAATCGCCTGTCTTCTTCCCTCCTCATTACCGGCGATCATATTCCTTCTGCTGCGAGTTCGCCAACTGGGGCCTACGCGGACCTATCTTTAGATAGCGATAAAGGCGGGGAATTCACCAGCAATAAAAATCGTCGACGATTTCCCTCCGAGGCTTTCGAATCAGAGCAACGAGGAAAATCTCCACGGCATAGGGCGATCATGGGTGGTGCAGAAGACATGCCGCAGAGGTCGTCGTCGCCGTTGAAACGACCAGCCTCGGAATTAGAACCAGATGTACCGCTGTCGAGCCAAAAGGAAGATGTCGATATGGTTATGGTGCCAGACACGCAAGAAGACTCAGAGGCTGCTATTGCAGCTCCGACCGCAATCAGAGCAGTATCAATGGATATGCTGAGAGATGAACCTACCAAAGAAGATGGTGCTCAATCGGTGCCTGCCACTGAGGACGCTCCAAGCATTGGTAACATCCACTCGTGTTGTTCGTGTATCCAAGTACTGATGTGCAAGTATAGATCCCAAAACAGAAATCCCACCGATCGACGTTCAGGTTGCGACTGTGACAAGTTTAATCAGAGCAGCGAGAGACGGGCCACTCACCGAAGGAGACAAAACGTACCTGGTTTCGAGGAAGTGGCTTGAGAAAGTGACTTCGAACACCTCGGAGGCTCGAGCGAAAAGCAAGAACGTGGTGGAAGAAAAAATTGGGCCAGTCGATAATTCTAACATCATTCAGCAAATCATCCCTCAACCTGGGCGCGAAGACTTTGTTCAACTGAAGCATGGAATCGGAGAAGATTTGTTCGAATTGTTTCCAGGTGACGCATGGAATATGGTTCTAGAATGGCATGATATAATGACGGGCACGAAACCAATCGTTCGATTTGCACACAACACAAACCCTGATAAAGGACCTAATGCAATAGCGAATGTGGCTTACGAATATCATCCTCCAATTTTCCATATCCATCGTGTATGGTCTGAACTTGGCGATAAAGTGGATGCAGCCATCAAGTCTGCAAATCCGGATGCGCCTGTAGTTGTTGCGAGTAGATCTATGAGGATGCATGACTTCTTAAAACTCGTAAAGGAGGTTGCGGGGGTTCCCATCAAGCAAAAAATACGTCTTTGGAGAGTGCCAAGAACACTACCCGCCGCTGACCCAACCCTTGCCAGTGTTAATGGTGCCGCAACCCCTCCTTCATCCAGACCTGGGACACCAGTAGTCGACACCAATGGAACGGCTCCTGAAGTACAAGATTCATGGAAGAAGCTATTACTGGGTGTCGCAGAGTTCACCAAGGTGGAGAGAGATTCGGGTAGAATGAAGGTTGATTTTGAGGATTCGACAGTGAACGATAACTACAATGGCAATCTGAATCTCGGTCAATTAGGACTTGGGGATGATCAAGCAATTGTCATTGATGAACTTGTCGAGGGCAAAGATGGCTTTGTTTCCAACACGAGAGTCTCGCCAAATGGGAAAGCCAACGGTGTTGGGCGTAAAAACAATTCAAGCATCATTGTTAGCAGCCAAAATAACAGCGGTCGCAATAGTCCAGCACCAACCTCTGGATATAACCTTCGTTCTTTCAACCGAAAGACGAAAAATGGTCGCACGCCAGGAACCGTCGGTCTCGGTAACCTTGGAAATACCTGTTACATGAATTCTGCTCTACAATGTGTTCGAAGTGTGGAAGAGCTAACCAAGTATTTTGTGCACGATGTGTACAAGGAAGAACTCAACAGCGATAATCCTCTGGGTCACGGAGGCTGCGTTGCTAAGGCATATGCAGATCTTCTGAAAGAAATATACAAGGAGCCTGCACCAGTCTCGGTTCAACCGCGGAACTTCAAGAATACTGTTAGTAGATTTGCCACGCAATTCTCAGGATACGGACAACAAGATTCTCAAGAATTTATTGGATTTTTACTTGATGGCCTCCAAGAAGATCTCAGCAGAGTGAGGAAGAAGCCGTATATTGAGAAACCTGATTCGACTGACGAGATGATTGGAAACCCGGATGCGATCAGAGAAATGGCCACCAAGGTCTGGGACATTACGAAGCAACGAGATGACTCGGTGATTGCAGACTTGTTCACTGGAATGTATAAATCTACTCTTGTCTGTCCACATTGTGATAAGGTCAGTATCACTTTCGATCCTTTCAACAACATGACTTTACAATTACCGATCGAAAATATCTGGAGCCGGGTCGTCAATTTCTTTCCACTCAATGACAAACCAGTTTCCATAGTGATTGAGATGGACAAGCATGCAAGCGTTGGAACACTCAAGCGTATTGTCAGCCAAAAGGTCGGAGTTCCAGCAGAGAGAATTTTCTCTTGTGAGGTATACGAAGGGAAATTTTACAAGTGGTACCTTGATCACGAAGTTGCTTCAGAAGCTATCGAGGGCGCTAAGGATATAGCCAACTTTTACGAGTTGGAGACAATACCTACAAATCTTCCAAAAGACTCGGGCAATAAGCATACCGGTTTCAACAAAAACAACTCCGGAGACAATGAAAGTTTGCCCTGGGATTCTCCAGAAGCTGAGAAATTGCTCGTTCCAGTGTTTCATCGTCGTCCCAAGCGTGAAAGATTTGGCAAAAAGCCGACTTCGGGTTCGTGGGAACTCACAATTACACCTCATTTCATAGTGCTTAATCCTAGCGAGGTAAGAAATTCCTATCTATTTGCTCTTAGATTTCTTTTTATCAAATTGTTGACATATGACAGGCACGAAGCGAAGAAGCCATCAAGCGAAAGCTTTTAGAAAAGGTGGCCACATTCACCACATGGCCCAGTATCAATGAAGAATCTGATCCTTCAAGCGCGTCTGAGAGTCTTGATCCAGACATGGTTGTCACCACTGGCTCTGATGCAGACTCATCTGGAGACGGTAAATTTGTTGCCCAATCTTTGGATGGGGAAGATGAACTGGTCGACGTGGCCATGAAAGATTCTAATCCTGTTCCTGAATCTACCGAGCAGAGTCCTAAGTGAGTCGACTCTTCTATTTGCGTGATATATCATACTAATACTAGATAGTGCACCTTTGAAAGTCTTTAATAGTCGTCGGCCGAAGTGGGTGGACCCAGCAGAGTTCCTTTCGCCCGAATTGCAGAACCTTTTTGAAATCTCTTACATCGTTGACTCAAAGGGAGGCATACCAACAGCTTGGGCTGTGAGCTTAGAATCCACCAGGTATTCAAGAATATCTGAAAGAAATCCACAAGCACATCAAATTAACGAAGATGACACTTCAAACGATTATGATGCTGTAGACAGTACATCTGGATCTGTCTCTAGTAAATCCAGTAGGGAGAGTAGCGATGATACCAACGGGTTCGCTCCAAGCATGACGAGGATGAATGAAGAATCCACGAGTGATGATGATGCTCTGAAGCCAATATCTCCTCAAAGAGTAAGTTTTTCAATATCACAATTGATGATAGCATGTTTCATCTTTTGTGAAGAGAATGGTTTTCTGATTCTAAGTGATGCTAATTGGTAAACAGGCTCTTCCAGTACGACCGGCTGCGCCAAAGTCGGGCGCTAGGGTAGGTCCCAAGAATAAACGTCGCTCACGTAACATGAAAACTTACTCAAAGAAGGGCAAATCAGTTGCACGAAAGCGAGAGCAATCCGAGGTTGGGTCCGAACAAGATCCCTCTGATGATGGCCCCTTGATCCGTCTGGGTGAAGGAGTTGTTGTTGATTGGAACGAAGATGCATGGGAAACATTGTTTGGTAGTTACAACGATAGCGACCATTTCCGTGGAAAACCTACTTATGAAAATCCTCCTACTCTTGTCGATTCACATCTTGATTCAAAGCGTCAAGCTCGTGAGTCGAGAAGGAAGCAAGGTATCACTCTCGAAGATTGTCTTGATGAATTCGGCAAGGAAGAAATTCTTTCTGAGATGGATACTTGGTACTGTCCTAGATGCAAAGAACATCGTAGAGCAAGCAAGAAGTTTGAGATTTGGAGAACGCCAGATATTCTTATCATGCATCTGAAACGTTTCAGTGCTAGTGGTTTCCAAAGGAATAAGCTTGTCGACCATGTTGATTTCCCGATCGAAGGATTAGACCTTTCATCACGAGTCATTGAATCACAAGATGGCAAAGAGGAAATATACGATTTGATAGCTGTTGATGATCATTATGGTGGTATGGGTGGAGGGCACTATACCGCTTTTGCCAAGAACTTCTCTGATCAAAAGTGGTATGAATACAATGGTATGATCTCCAAACTCAATCAATACCAATAACCAACTAACCTCTTCAGATTCTTCGGTGTCAGAAACAAAAAATCTCAACAGCATGGTCACAAAGAACGCATATCTCCTTTTCTACCGAAGACGTTCATCAGAACCTCTCGGTGGTAAGGCTTTGCGTGATATTGTGAACTCTCTTGATAATGCTTCTTCGGATGAGGAAGATTCGGGGGAAGGCAGACGCCTCGGCGAAAACTCCTCCCAGCATGGGTCGCCGAGCGCCTTGACAGGAGTCGGAGCAGCTCTCCGTCGGCCAGAACTTGGTTCGGAGGATGGCGAGGCGATGACGACAGTAAATCCACAGGGTCTTGATCGCCTTCCACTCGATAACGATGATAACCAAGGTGACGAACCATTTTTCGACCATGCTATATACCTACCTTCATATAGCGACGTCCAAGCAAGTACTGAGACTGACGAAGCGATAGACCTATCAGATCAAAATAATGTTGCACCAAATCTTCATCAACAAACATGGGGTTTCCAAGCATTTAACCATAACTCTCCAACATTTGCTTCTGGTGCGGCTTCTGAAGCTGGCGAAGCTGGTAGTTTATATGGTAGCGATGGGATTGAACATGGCTCCAATCCAGATCAGGCTACCAAGGATGAGCGAGAGCTAGAGTTTAATACTGCCATGGTTGATGAAGACTATCAAGAGGAGAACTACATACCTGATACTGATGTCGAGGGTCCGAATCCCCTTGATGTGATGGCGATATCAAATGCTGTAAAGCAACGAAATCGAGCAGAGCAACACAATTACGAAATCCCGGTTGATAGGGCAGAGGATGAGGAACCTGCTACAGAAATACATGTTGAGGAAGGTGAAGGGGTTTAGAATTGATTAAGGTTCCTTTGATTTCTCATATCTTGTCGTATGAGTGTAGTTCATTGAAAATAAAGGAGTTTTGGTATTGATTGCTACTAGCATAAGGGGGTGGGGATGTGGGTGAAATGAGAAAGTCAACCCGATACGAACAAAGAATTGGTGGATTTGCACAAATGACGTTGTTATTAGACATGAAACTGAATATGCTGTTATGATATTTCATTTTACTCTAGCTCTTATTAGCATATGATTTGATGAGGGGGAGTGGGTGGGTGAGGCAAGAGGAGGGGTGAAGAGGGTGGAGTAGAAGATATCCGATGTTTGTATGCATGCAAGCAATGAAATGAAATGGCATGGCATGAATGAATTGAAGTAAATATGCATTATTAGTCTATCCTTATTTCATGTGATTTGAATAGTTGGTGAGTGGTTGATGAATGGGTGCACGGATTGGGTGCATTGCACATGTGAATATATCAAATAGATATTAGAAGAGAAGATTGAAATTGAGTTAAATCAAATGATATGATTGGTTATATGTACTGTGATGAGATTCGATATCGTTTGATGTGATGTTAGGTAATACATAGAAAGTTGGGGAGGGGGAGGGGGAGGTGGTGAGGTGGTGAGGGGTGAGGGGTGAGAGGTGATGACTAGCAGATAGTTTGTAGGTAGATTGGATAGATTGGATAGATTGGATAGATTGGATAGTTTGGATAGTATTATGGGAGTTTTGATTTGGAGATGATGAGGTTTAGCGTTTTAGGGGGAGGAGGAGGGGGAGCGGAGACGCTTGAGGCTTGAGGAAGTGAGGTATCTCAAAGAAGAGGAGAGGAGACGAGAGGGAAGAGGATGATTATATATCAGAACCGAATCAAAACTGAATTAAATCGATTAATAAAGTTATTTTTATATGTATTAGATTGTTGTAAGAGGGATGAGGAGTGAGAAGATGTGAGATGTGATATGTGAAGATGGTGAGATGTAATGTAAGAGTTAAGACCTCGGCTTATCGCACACCACCTATTTTTCAATCTAATTTTTTAAAATTTAATAATAAATCGATTATATAATATAATCTTATAAACCTTGAATATTATATTAATAAATAATAACTAATCCTTATATTTTAATTATATTTTCAATTTTGCAAATCAATCTCTTAGTATATAGTCTGAAATTTAAGGGATTTATTCTATTTCAAAAAGCTTATAATTTATATTTTAATTTCTTTATAAAAGTAAATACAAATAATAGTTTTTTTAATTCCTTTTTCATTTATTATTATACTTTTTCAATTAGATTAAGATTTGGAGAGAAGAGTAGTTAATCAAAGTTTTATATATTATACTTCAATTGAACTTTACAGGTATACCTAGAATATACTTTAGAATTATTTTTTATAAATATATATTCAGATTTTAATTTATTGAATAATGGGAATATAATAAATTCAAGGATTTGTTATATATATATTTTGGAGGTAATATTTTTATTATCTTTAAGTTTTTTTAAAAAAATTAATGAAGATTTATAGTTTCAGTTGATTATATTTTATATTATTATTAATATCCTTTCTAATTAATATATTGATTTAATATAATTAATATATTTTTTTTATCAATTCATTTAATAATTTATATCCTACCCACTTTTCCTAATTCAAAAGTGCTTTTGTTCGATTATATAATTAGTTTTCAATTCCCCTTTTTTGGTTTAATAGTAATAGTATTATTAATTCCTTACTAATAATACTTATATATAAAATCTAGTTTTTTTTTTTTTTTTTTTAAAAAAATAAAAGGCTTAGGATATACTATTTCTTTATATTTATATTAATATAATTCCTTTTGAATTATATATATTAAAATTTTAATACTAAATATATTTCTAATCTATTCGAAAGTTATCTTTCTTTCGTTTTAATTTTTAATAATCATTTTTATAATTCGATAAATCTCTTTAATAATTATTATAGATTTTTGATAAGTTTTTTCTTTTCGAATTCTTTTAATCGAATTAAACTAAATTATATTTCTTGTGATAGATTGTGGTATACTTAAATTTGAAGCAATCTATTCCTAGGATTTTCTATCAATCTTAGCTTGAATAACTCTAGAATATCGAAAAGTATATCAATTTTGATAAAATTTATAATTATCATTTTTATAATTATATTTAATATCTATTTTGAATTTGAATCGAAAATAATGAATTTTAGAATAATAATTGAACTTTTAAAATAAGATATACGAAATTAAATGACTACCCTAATCTCGCTTAAATATGCGATAAGCCGGGGCCTCAACTCTTGTAATGTGTGTGATGTGTGATGGTGAGATGTGATATGTGAGATGTGATGTAGAGAGAATATTCAAAAGGGATTGCAATTGGCATGGGATGGGATGGGATGGGATGGGGTAGTAAGTGAGGTTGAGGGTAAGTGAGGTTAGGATTTGGGAAGGATACTGAGCTGAGGGGTATGGGTATGGGGGGGAGAGAATTATTGAGGGGGTTTAGGGGTTGTGTGGAGGGTTTGAATGTTTTTGGATTTTGGGGTTTGGGTGCAGATGGAGGAAGGGGATTGGGATTGGGATTTGGGTTTGGGTTTGGGTTTTGGGTTTTGGGTGTGGAGGGATGGAGGGATGGAGGGGATGGTGAGAGGGGATATTGAGAGGGGGGATGTTGAGAGGGAGATTTGAGAGATTGTGATGATTGAAGAGATTGAAGAGATTGGAGAGATTCGAAAGATTTGAACATGTGTTTTAGATGTACGAATAATGAGACAATTTCCTGTGCTAATTCTCTTACGGAAAGTTTATATATATACCTCGGTAATGTAAGATCTCTTTATAAAGTTGAATTATATAAGTGTATGTGAATCTGTATACTCGAATGGTAATACATGACTATGTAGTTCAAATGTTATATGAAGTGAAGATAATTCATGATGAGAACTCTGACTTTGTAAACGGAGACATGTCGATGATGACAGTGAGTGTGTGTGTGAAAATCGTAATGGATGCGATTCTGGGGATATTGATCATAGTGAGTGGGTCATCCAGGAATATGGTGTCTAGTATCTAGATATTTTATAGGATGTAGAGGAAGGTGTACTCATGATGAGTTAGTCTATATAGACTAATTTCCGGGTGAGTTGAATATGGAGAATACTATTCATTTGTGGGTCTGTTTGAACTTCGTACAAGCGAGGTTTCTTCGGAGCATACGTGAATTCTCAATTAGTATTGAATCATTAACGATGAGATCTTTCCTAGATGTGCGCTCAAGTATTTGAGCTGACGGGACGTATAGTGTTCCAAAGACTTGGAGCATTACAGAACTATTGCTTGCTTCTGATAGGGAGATATCTCGCGATAAATAATGACTTGTCAAAGAAAGTCAATTTCAACGTCCAGCATATAAACAGCTCGGATAATCGTTCATGCGGAGGTGCACTAATTGAATAACCTCTTCCTGATGACAATTTGGGAATTCCTCAGAGCTCTTGTGTGATTGTATGCTAAGGGGATTACTTGAATGATAGACTGTGAATCGAGGCTCTACCGATATTATTAGAATCTCGTGATCTCATTGTTTGAAACTTACTGACTAATTGAACTTGAAGTTAAATAGATAGATGTTGTGTAAAATTATCAAATTTGAAGTCTTTTGAGGGATCGGTATGCCGCCAAATGTCATGGTGGTACTTTCCACCTTGTTTTTTCAGTATGAAATGAATGAGAATGATATCATATGGACTGGACAGAATTTCAGAGTATATCATCCGGGGGGTCTTTCAGGAGAGAAAAAGAATCTTGAATTGGCCGACTCGGTTAGCTAGAACTTATCAGCCGGCGACCAGCGGCGGGCAAATACCCATGTTGCTATTATGAATTTAATCTCTGAACTAAAACAGAATACCAAATACCTATCATAAGATAAAAAGATATGTTCGTATTGGTTCATACCCCCAGATATCTACATCTACGATATACTCACAACATCCCAGAACATTGATCTCCTCGATTTATCTAAACCTCTCGGTACGTACCGAGCGCACGGACTTATTCTCGAACCCTTCTAGAACTTTGCGTCATCACCAACCCCTGAAAGGGTAGATCTCTACCATTGTTTGACCCGTTGCACAGAGATTGCGGGATGTTTCAATTATTCCTATTCGTCTAATATGTTAAATGCGATACTTTTAATGTTATTGGTCGCACGCCTAATTGGAATGTGGGGATAGCGTTGGTAGGAGAGCTTTATTGGTTGCGAATTTACGCTGATTGAGATTCTGCCTGTCCTTCTTACTTCGATCCCGTGAGCATTCTAATTAGTCTATCATTTGGTGAGCGTGGGGAGACTTCTATCGCCATTACTCATTATGCCTATATCTCGGAGCGATGTGGAAATAACCACGAAAATCATCCTTGTCGTATTGCCGCTAATCAATAGTGCCTGATGAGTAGATGGTACACTGATTAGTCTGAGCAGCTTCTTCGGTAATCAATCTTGTAAAAGATTCCTTCAGATGTCATCAAAACGTTCTTGGATAACAAAAACTGTTAGCTTATAATATCCCCGAGTATCTAGTTCAATTTGTCTTAGAACGTGGTGGGTTTCACGTGATAATTCAAAAGTGGCGGGACCACTAGCCACACATGGCTTGACGTAGCCTCCAGGCTAACGTCGATTTGTCTTTTCGCCTCATTTCTTCTTGACACCACAACATTTCTCTCTTGCAACAACACGGCAGTCCGCAAAGATGATCTCTAGGAACGTCATGAACAATCGAACCTCGAATCTGGTATCTGGGTATTTATCAGCTTGATCAGGGCATTGTCGAAGATCATTTGAAATCAATACGCGACAAGAAGATATGCGATACAGGCCATCTTATTCTCGCACAACTGGCGACTTCGTTATCTGCGCTTTTCGATATCTCATCCATGCTCGAATTGTAGCCTGATTAAAGGAATATCAACTATCAAATGCGAAGTCGCTACCTTTCTAATCCATCGATATTGTACTCGACCGCGATCTGTGCACACCATCCTCGACATTTTCACAACGCTCTTATATGTCTTGATCCAGGATAGTCGATCGAAGCAAAACGAGTGTAACGCTCACAAAGAGTATTCAGGATGAAGTTAAATCTCACAAGAGGGATCAGACAGACGACTAAGATGCCTGGCAGTCTGCACACCGACCTCTCAGTTGATGGTTTAGAAGCACGCCCGGCGCATATATCGACATGTCATGTTTCTTGCAAGTTGCTGATTCACGGTGATTTCAA